GTGCATGAAAACCCTAATTTTCTTACAACACTGTACCTTAGTCCGGGTTTGAATTAACTAATTATCTATTTAAAACCGGTTATAAAATTAGGGAAAATAAATCCTCGACAAAATGAATTCGTTTATTTTAGCTTTTGACTTTTATTTAGAGTCAGAGTGGATGTTTACAGTTTTAGTCTTTTAATATTAAATATAAGTGATTATATCATTTAATTACAGTGATCCAAATTCAGGATTAGACTACAATGATGTATGCCTAGGGAGAACCAGAAGGGATTGCTTGGAAATGAGATGGAATAGACTTGCTGCTACACCAAATATCTCACTTGTAAGAATCTTGACTGATGGTGTTCCAGTTTGGGTGAAAGTCAGAGCTGTCAACAGAGGTATAATTCTTTTGAAGTTATATTTTTAGCTCACCTGACACGAAGGGCCAAGTGAGCTTTTCTCGTCACTTGGCGTCCGTCCTCTGTCGTCGTTAACTTTTACAAAAATCTTCTCCTCTGAAACTACTGGACCAAATGTAACCAAACTTGGCCACAATCATCATTGGGGTATCTAGTTTAACATATGTGTCCGATGACCCCGCCTGCCAACCAAGATGGCCGACATGGCTAAAAATAGAACAATTGGGTAAAATGCAAGTTTTGTCTATTATTTTGAAAAACCGTTATGAATAGAGAAAATCTGAGAAGGAGCAAAAATGATCAGAATGTTGAGCTCTACGTATTGTCCATATCCTTCTAAAGTGTCAGACAACTTCTTATAGGAGTTATTGCCCTTAAATGACAAATTTTACCATTTTTTTTTCATTTTTGCCTATTATCTTGAAAACTATGATAGATAGAGAGAAACTTTAAATTGTAAAAATGGTCAGCAAGACAAGTTCTACAACTTAGTCTTATGGTTGAAATCGTCAGTCGACTCCTTAGAGTTATTGCACTTTGATGCCTTTTTTCCAATTTTTTGCATTTTTGCCTTATATCTTAAAAATTATAATAAACAGATATAAATTTAAATAAGCAAAAATGATCAGCAAGACAAGATCTACAATTAAGACAATGTGGAGGAAATTGTCCAAAGTCTCCTTATTGGAGTTATTGCCCTTTAATGACGATTTTTACCATTATTTTGCAAAACACAATGATAAAAATTATAATAGATAAATAGACACTTTAAAACACAAAAATGATCAGCTAGGTAAGATCTACTAACAAGTCAAATTTTGCTGATATAGTTAGTAGACTGTCACTCTTTATAGGAGTGACTGCCTTAAAATGAGGATTTTTTTTACCCTCATTTGTGTTTTGAGCAAAAACTAAAGATGGAGAGAAACTAAACGGACTAAATGATCAGTAGTACAAGATCAACAAAACAGATTTTTGTTGTGAATTCTATTCTCGTCTATGTTGGAGAGTGTCCTTTGTTAAATATGCACATAGACCAAGGTGAGCGACACAGGCTTTTTAGAGACTCTAGTTATGTGGTGATATGGTGACATAAATGCCCACAGACATGACAAATCCACCCACTCCTTATAATAGTAATGACTGTGCCAAAGTGTCTGTCCAAATTTTCCTGGTAATAGGGTACATTTCTTTACTTTTAATACATAATTATACCCCCGCTTTAAAAAAGGGGGGGTATACTGTTTTACTTCTGTCTGTCCTTCCGTCAGTCCGCCAGTCCATCCGTCCGTCCCATGAATATTTTCATCGCATTTTTCTCAGGAACTACTTGACAAGGATTTCTGAAATTTTTGGTTTCAGGGTTTATATAAGTAAGTTATACCGTGTGATGCGTTTTCAGATTCATCACTCAACAACTTCCTGTTTACCGAACACTTGTATTATTTTACACATGATAGCCAAGTTGAAAATTTTCGTCACATTATTCTCAGGAACTACTTGACAAGGATTTCTGAAATTTGGTTATAGGGTTTATATAAGTCAGCTATACCGTGTGATGCGTTTTCGGATTCATCACTCAACAACTTCCTGTTTACCCAAATATTTCGGCGGGGGTATCATCAGTGAGCAGTAGCTCACAGTTTTACTTGATTTACCTTTAGTCTATTGTGGAGACAATGTGACTTAAATGGTATTTAGTGGAAAAATGGTTGTAAAAAAAACAGTTCCGACGACATACTTTTTATTTTGGACCTTGTATAGAATCATAGCGAAACATTAGTGGTATTGTATACAAAAAGGTTGTATGCAGAGAAAATGCTTTAAATAATCCAACTTCATTATACTTGATACATTGTTTCTTATCGTCTAGTTGCGAGTTATGAAAGTCAAGTAGCAAGTTACAAAAGTGAACTTGACTTAAGTAGCTCTCAACTTCATACACTACATAAAGTAAATCTCGTTTGATAATGGTATGAAAATGCACCAATTCAAGATCAATGGTTTAGATATTTCATTTTTCAGTTGACTTACGTACTATTGGTGTTGCTGACTCTGCCATTATTGTTGACAAGACTCCACCTAATGCAGGAGTTGTTATGGATGGACCTATCTATGGTGAAGATCTAATGTATACTAAATATCCAGATAAGGTAAGTTGATCATATATAATGAAACACTTATTAGTCCCCTACCGACAAAGTCGAGGAGAATTTAGGTTTGCACTCCCTCCGTCTGTCTGTCTGTCTGTCTGTCTGTCTGTCTGTCCATCCATCAGTCAGGCGAATCAAGTTCGAATTTTGCTCCGGTCTGATGATTTTGTGCAGAGTTATGGTCTTTTGACTTAGAAAATTCACTAAAATAATCAGTTTTCCGCACTTTTTTTGTCATTCTTGAAGATATTAATTTGATAATTGATATATAGTTTTATCATGACAAGTTACAGTTCAAGTTTGAATTTTGTTCCGGTCTGATGATTTTGTGCAGAGTTATGGTCCTTGGACTTTATAGAAAATTCACTTAAATAATCAGTTTTCAACACTTTTTTTCATCATGCTTGAAGATATTGACTTGATATTTGTTATACCATGACAAGTTATAGATCAAGTTAGAATTTTGTTCCAATATAATGACTTTTTAACGGTATGGGACTATGTATTGCCATGCAATACTCACAGAATGCTTGTTTAATTGTATTTCAAAATGTGTTATAACTATATAATGTAACCTCTACATAAATGTCTGTTGAGCTGGCTATGAATGAAGGATTGAAGCAAACAAGTCAATCTATATGTTTATTTCTATTTAATTGTATTGTTTGTAACCATCTCAATGTCATTTCCTAAAGTTACCTTTTATTATTATAATATCCCGATTTACTGAGAGTGTACTGCAGTTACCTTGTCTGTTGGTCCGTGCATTTATATTTTTTGTTACATATAATACTCAGCTTCTGTACATAGGAATGATTAGATATTTGGTCTGGTTTTTGCTTATTGAGCTAATATTGTTATGAACTTAAGGATGTTCGCTACTTTGTTTCAAAATAACAAGCTTTTTAAAAGACTGTTATAAAGTGATAGTATATAAATAAAGGAACTAAAAAAGCAGAAAAAAAAATGAAAGGTCCGTGTGCTTGTTTTTGAGATATAAGCCATTGAAAATCTGGCGGGAAATAATTCTCTCTAGACTTTCCATATATATAACATTGACACCTTTTTCCTTTCAAAAGTATTTAAAAAATAACAAGGATTTCATAAAATTTTCAAAAATGACTTTTAAAACTATATGGAGTAAATTTTTGAAAAGAAAAGTAGGGGTCAGTGGGCAAAATTTTTATTGGCACTACATGGATAAAAGTAGAGGATTCCAAATATCTGGCAAAAAATCAAAAACAAGAGTAGTGAACATCCTTTACTGAGATGACATTGGTTGTAGTTGTGTCTTTCTAAGAGCATACTACTGATGGAAACCATCAAGGCAATGGATCAACCACTTTTAAGATTAGGTTTTGATAAAAAAAAAAAAAAAATGCATGTTCCCATGTTTGTTTCAGATTTGTGCCAACTGGTTACATTTCTATGACCCAGAGTCTGGTATTGGATTGTATTTGGTCAGTGTCAGTTCTGTCAAACAGATAAATGTGACAGACATTGCTAACTTGACAGAATACAGCAGGAAAACACATGAAGCTTGTGTAGAGCTAACTCCTGAAAATTACCTGGAACATGGACATACTTATTTCACCACTGTATGGGCATTTAATGGAGCTGTCAATCAGAAAAATGTGTCGGCTATCTCAAATGGAGGTATAAAAAAACATAGATCATAGTCATAGATTTGATAAAAAGATGTATCAAATTTGAATATGGGAATTAAATACTAGTAATACTTAATCATCAAAGATTCCTATTCTTGTTTGCATGTGAGAGTTTATAATATTTATAGAATACTGAAATATGATCTGATGTAAATAATTTTTTTCAAATTTTAAGTAATTTTATTATGTTGCAAGAAAATATAATGGTTCCCCAATTTTAATTTTAATTTTTTTTTTAAAGAATGTAAAGATTTATTTTCATATTTTACTTCAAAATTCTGTTATCTACTGTGGATTTATTTATTTTCGTGGATTGAGGAAAATTTCTTTTTTCGTGGATATTTGATTTCATGGTTTTGCCAAAGTCTGCATACATGCCTACGGTATAGCAAATTTGTACTTCATTAAACTATTTAATTCGTGGTGCACTTATTCCCACGAAATCCATAAAAATTGATATCCCACAAATAATAATGAAGCCACAGTATGTGTTTTTTTTTCATATTGAATATGCATGAAATGTGTAACTCTATGTGAACCAATCAACAGTCAGTCAGGTTTTTATTCAACATGTTAGGTTAGATATAAGCTTGGTGCAAAATACTCTTTTTTATGACTTCAAATTTTTGGACTATTTTAAACAAAATTTGCAACATTGTTTTTTTTAAAGATGTACTCAATGACTACAAGGTAGCTGATCAATTTCTTCAACTGTTAGAAATGAATTGACTTAAAAAAAAAAAAAAAAGGAATAGTAAAAATGAAAGTATAAAATGGCATTGATTTTACACTCCCTTACAGTTACTGTTGATCTGACAAAACCTGTTCCTGGAGATGTTGTTGATGGAAATAACACAGGGTTTGAAGACATCCAGTTCTCTGGTAGTGCAGCTAAAGTAGAGATTCAATGGATGAATTTTTATGATCCAGAATCAAAGATCAGACAATATGATGTTCAAGTTCAGGCAGCAGGGTATGTTATTGAATAGTTTATAGATATTCTTGAAGGTTAAAGTAAAGTACGGTAGAATGTTTACCAGATAGAACAGCTATCAGCTATGAGAAACATGGTGTTTTTATGATGACAAAAGATTTCTATAAGGCCACTCCAATTCAAATACTTGTTCTTTGGACTTTTTTGTACAAAAATTTGAGAGAGCTAGCAAGAAGGGTAGTAGGAGGGAGTGTTATCCTGAATTCTCTCAAAAAATAAAGTATTCTTTCGATCTAAAAAATTAATAATTAATTACAGAGTCCCGATAGGTGTAAATCCTTAATTCCTGCAAAACAAAGTTTGGCTGTTTTTTTTATCTTACAGCTTATTCGTCTTTTTTTCTGTATTACTTTTTAATTTCGAATTCAAGGGACTGAAAAAAGTGGGTTTATCATACTCTCTCCTTTGTATTATAAGTTTGGCTGAAAGAGTGTAAACTGTTTGACTTGATTTTGATCTTAATTTGCATATGTTTATAGTCAATTGATTAATATAATCTACTTTTATTTTAGGAATTTATCAGAAAACTTCCAAGTAGTGAGAGATTTTGTAACATTTTCTAACATGACAGAAAGTGCTAAATGGCTGAATTTTCATTTTGAACATAAAGATAGAGTAAAATTGGTTCTGCAAACTACAAATGGAGCTCTCAACTCAATAGTCAACGAGACAGATGGTTATATAGTAGATCTCACACCTCCAAAGCTTGTATATCTAGAAGATGGTTCTGTTCAGCATGAGGATTTGGAATTTCAGGTGGGTAGATATTAAATTATCAAAGACATTATTAATGTCTTCATATTTTTATGGGGCTGCTGACTTAGGTTGGAGCCATATAGTATAACCCTTATCTGTCATTCCATCATTTCATCATTCTGTCATTCTGTCATTCCGTCATTCCACAACGAACAGTTATATGTCTTTTTTCTTCTAAACTTAACATATTGAGCTGATTTTTAGTATGTGAGTTTATAGCTACTATGATGAGTTACAGATCGAGTTTACATTTGATTCTGCTGCACTGATTTTTGCCTAATCTTAAAGGGTATCGACTTTGAAAATTTCGGGAAAATAATAGTTATACAGACTTTTTTTCTAAACCCCTCTACATATTGAGCTGATTTTAGAATGTGAGTCTACTATAATGAGCTACAGATCGAATTTACCTTTGGGTCCGCTCCACTGATTTTCGTCAAAATAAAGGGCTTTGGACTTTGAAATTATTGTAAAAATAACAGTTAAACGGACTGTTTAGCTCACCTGACCTAAAAGGCCAAGTGAGCTTTTCTCATGACTTGGCGTCCATCGGCGTTGTCTCTGAACTTTTACCAAAATTTTCTCCTATGAAAATACTGGGCCAAATTTACCAAACTTAACCACAATCATCATTGGGGTATCTAGTTTTAAAAATGTGATAGATGACCCCACCTGCCAACCAAGATGACCGACATGGCTAAAAATAGAACATTGGGGTAAAATGCTTTTTAAAAAGTTTTGCCTATTATTTTGAAAACTGCTATAAGTAAAGAAAATCTGACAAAAATGTTCAGAATGCTAAGCTCTACCTATTGTTCATTTATGACAAAACTGTCAGACGACTTCTTATAGGAGTTAGGGAACGACCATTTAGCCTCAATGGGGGGTTATGGTTTTTTCCTAAAAAAATATTCTGATCCCCAACTTGATGAAAAAAAATATTGTGGTCAAGCAGATACCAAAAAAAAATTATTCTGAATCCAGATTTTTACCCATACCTTATAGTGTTAAATTTTGAAAAAAAAAATTTGATTGATAGCGTCGAAAAACTAAATAAAAATGTTCTGTCTCCGACAAAAAACCATAACCCCCCCCCCCCCCCCCCCCCTTGAAGTTAAATGGTTGCTCCCTTAATGCCATTAAATGATGAATTTTACCATTTTTTTAAATTTTTTAAATAAAAAAAACGATCAGCAATACAAGATCTACAAATAAGTCAACATGGCTGATATCTTCAATCAACTCCTAATTAGAGTTATTGTCCTATAGTCCTATAATGATGATTTTTTTTTCCAATTTTTTGCATATTTGCGTCATATCTTAATAACTATATTAGATAGATTGAAACTTTAAATAGCAAAAATGATCAGCAAGACAAGATCTACAAATAAGTCTCATGATTGAAATTTTTAATCGACTCCTTATTGCCCTTTAATGATGATTTTTTTTCTTTTTTGCCTATTAACTTAAAAACTGTAATAGATAGATTGAAACTTTAAAAAGCACAAATTTCCACTAATAAAAATGGCGTCAAGCATTTGTGTCATTCCTACACATCTAGTTTTTGACAGGTTTTAGAAATGAACGCTACAACTCAGATTAATTTGAAATGCCTTAGATCATACAAATACTTCTTAAAATTCAAATTTCAACTTTTAATGATTGGAAATGAAAATGCTTTTAAAATAAATTTCTACCAAATTATCATTTTTTGAACTGGGCACATTTTATAAAAAGATATTTTAAACCTAGGGATATAAGTAATTAATATTGCAATAAAGAAAACTACTATGAATCAAGATTTAAAAAATGTATATTAAATTTCCTTCTAATATATTGCTTATCAGATCTAAAAAAAAAAATCATACACAGGTATTGTAGCAATGTGTAATGGTATTCTATCATTGAAATTCTTTTCGTAAAATTATTTCATATTTAATGTATCAAGTCAATTATTGAAACACAGTTTAGATATGAAATGATGTATTTGTAGTCTGATACCACCAGCCTCTCATCAAATTTCAAGTTTATTGATGAAGAATCTGGATTGGATCATTTTAAAATACAGATTTACCAGAGATACCAGAGCATAAGATCACAAATTGTTCCAGGTAGTATGCAATTGAAATTCCAGATGTTATACAAATAGATTTGAATTTTTATCCACCTTTTAATTATATGACTTTCCCATTACTGTTCATACCCCAAGGGTTGACTGGGTTATAGAAATATGGTCATCCCTAATTGGTCTTCTTCTGTCGGGCAGTAAAACTCTTGCCAAAGTGGGTGCGTGGGATGTGGAAATTGGCAGGCAAGTCCAGTCAGAATGGGGATGATTAATCCAATGCCTCATGTAGAGAAAGTGCCATTAATTCTAGGGTCAAATTAAAATAATATTAAGCAAGCAACATTCAATCAACCAAATTAAAATATTCAACAATCATTTGGTGATATTTTAACATTTTTACTTTGTAATATGCTATTGGAATGTTTATGACAACTACAAAATTCTTTGTAGGTGTTTTTTTTAAATTTGCTCAACTCAAGCATAATAACTTATTGTTAATGTAACACAGCTATTTGTTATGAGCATAATTAAATATATATTTATATTCTGTATTTTTATGTTTATTTTATATTTTTTAAATGTTGAACCTTTTTTGCAAAATATTCATTGATTTTATTTTAGAAACTCGCAATGATTGGATTGAATTGGATGATGGAAATCTGAATGAGTTTATCGACCCCAGTCTGACTCTCCGACAGGGTGCAGTATACAGTATAAGAGTAGGAGCTGTTAATAAAGCAGGTTTTATGGCAGCTTTTGAAACAAATGGTGTAATGGTAGACACAACACCCCCTATTGTAAGTTATTTACCGGCTACATGACGATTTATTAGTCTTTAGAGAGAGGGACGCAAAAAAAGCAGTGTGGGGTTTGAGGCTGCTTAAAGTCCACAGCAAGTCCATTGCATTGCTAAATTTATATTTGGGCTGAATTTAGGGACCCTGCATGATGATTGCTACCACACTGATAATCTGATTTGGTGTGTTGATCTTGTATAAAGCAGAGTATATCATATGATATATTGACAAGGTAGAATGACAAGGCCTTTCATACTTCCTGCTAGAAATCAATCAAACTGGCTGCTGTTTTATTTTGGTTTGAATTTATTTAGCATTTTTCATGTCAGTCCTTTTATAGCTGGCTACACGATTTTTGGTTTGCTCATTATTGAAGGTGACAATGACCTAGCGTTTCTTACATCCACATCATTTGGACTTTAGTGAATAGTTGTCTCATTGGCAATCATACCACATCTCCTTATTCTATATAATACATGGATGCTTGTTTCAATTTATAGATTCACTGGCTTCATGTCAACACATTATCAGATGACGAAGGGCAGACTGTGTACGGCTATGTGTGGCAAGCAGATACAAATGGTATAAAAGCAGCATGGCTTTCATCAGATCATGAGTCTGGTGTTATCAATTACAAAATAGCTGTTGGATCCTCACCAGGTATATGTTAAGTAATATAACAATGTTGGAGGTTATGTAATTGTCACAGCCTTTACAGGTAATCAAAATAATGTTGCGTAGGAATTACTCAAGATAATAAAATGCAATTCACTATTATAGGTGTTTACAGGAGACATTGCATTTTGACCTCTCTAATAGCTTTTTATGGTGCTCCATAATAGCTTTGAGCATTCTTGAATATATTACAAAAAGGGTATTTATGCATACAACTTATGATACAAACATTTTTAAAGAAAATTTGTAGCTAACAAAAAAAAAACACAATTTCCACATTGCAACATGTATCAACCCAATGTGATCTTTTCAAAGTATAAACTGACGCAAATTTAGCTTTCTCATACTAAGTTTGATCAATAACTTTTCTGAAGCAAAATAAACAATTACCTTTAAACAATAATTCAAAAAGGTAATACAATTTTCTATAACAACTTGAACTGAAATTATGTAACCCATCATACACACCAATAAAATGAACAAAGGTTCATGAATATTTTGACCTCTTCCTTAAACATATGGACAATGTAGAAGAATCTTTAGAAATAATTTTCAGTTACCTTCATAGCAATTTTATGGATACTTTTCTTTACATTCTAAGGTGGAACTGAGGTTAAGTCATGGACAGATATTGGACTAAAGACAGATAAATATATAGATGGATTATCCCTGGATATTACTGATATTGATACCAAGACCCCAGTGTACTATGTTAGTTTAATAGCATTAAATGGAGCTGGCCTGGAAAGTTCACCTGTGATTTCAACACCAATAGTGGTGGTGGAAGCTGACAAAGCAGGTAAATATGTAGATGGAATATCCCTGGTATCAATGTCACCAAGTCCCTAGTTTTCTATGTGAGTTTGATAGCAGTAAATGGAGCAGGTCTTGCAAGTTCCTGTGGCGTCAACACCATTAGTGGTGATGGAAGCTGGCAAAGCAGGTAAATATATAGATGGTTTATGCCTATAAATGTTACTGACATTAATCCCAAGACCCAACCATATTATGTAAGTTAAATGGCAGGCCTTGGAAGTTCCCCTGTGGTGTCAACACCAATAACGGTGATGGAAGCTGACAAAGCAGATAAATATATAGATGGATTATCCGTGGATATCACTGACACTGATACCAAGACCCCAGCTGACAAAACAGGTGATTTTAATGAGGTTCATGTTCAAATAAATATAAATGCGTCATACAAAATTGGTTCTGCATATATATGTTTTCGACTATCTTTTGTCAATGGGATATTCTAGATTTATTTCACACTCTTGAGTCTCTAAAACATAAAGGCAAACTTTACATAAGATGAGAAATAGCAGTAAAAACTAAGGTGAAAAGGGGTAAGGGGTGTATTTTTTCACATTTAGAAAAATATTTCAATTGAATGTGTTAATTATTTAGATATAATTATTGATGGTACAGATGGAGCAGACCATGATCCTCTATCTGACATTGGTGTTGACATTGATTACCTATCTGACATTTCTACAGTCAGTGTACAGTTTACAGGGTTTTACCTTTACTGTGTTTTGTAGGTATAGTTATTGATGGTACAGATGGAACTGACCATGATCCTGTATCTGACATTGGTGTTGACATCGATTACCAATCTGACATTTCTACTCTAAGTGTACAGTTTACAGGATTTGAGAGTCATCTCCATGGTGTTATGGCCTATGAATGGGCTGTAGGAACAAGTCCAGGTGGACAAGATGTCACCACATTTTCAGCTGATGGAATTTTACATGTAGAAGAGCAAAATATTGCTGGAGATGGTAATTAAGATACATATCAGTATTTTTTTGACACGATTAACATACAACTTTGATTGCCTCATTGCAACATAATTGTTTTTAGTTGAGGAGGTGTGACTTTCATTCTTCTTAGCTGTATCAAAACATAGACTTTTAAACATCAGTAGCTTCTGTTAATCAGCTCAGTAAACAACACCAAGAATTACTGCAAAGGAAATAAGACCTTTCCCCAGAATCAGTTGGTGTTTACCAGGCTATTTAAATGTTTGCAAAGTGACATGTCTCGTGGAATAAACACATGAGAGTTGTTGCAAGGTTTTATTTTAAAGTGTTGAGAGCAGTGTTCACCGTACACAAAGCATGATTTAATGTCCCTATTCTGTCTGGCTGATCATTTATACATCCTGCATAGCCAAAAGGATACCCCACCTAATCAAGGTTTTACTGCTCTACAGGTAAAGTCCAGTTATTACCATATTACTTTACCTCAGTCAACCTTTTGGTTGATTTTGGAATTATGCTAGGAAGTGCACTAGATACAGGTGAGCGACATAGGCTCTTAAGAGCCTCTAGTTTAATATGCAGTTCATTTTTAGCACACAAACACATGAATATCAAAATATAGGCTTTGGAAAAATGTATTTATTTCAATTTTGCTATATTTTTTAGGCCTAACAAGCTCTGGATATGCACAGGTAAATGTTCAGCTGGAGCCTGGAAATACATATTATTCTACCATTAGGGGTGTTACTAACGCTGGAAATATTATTGAGTCTGTATCAGATGGAATAACTGTAGACTTATTACCACCAGACATTGTTTTGGATAGGTAATTATTGTAAACTTTTTATTTATTCTTTGCATGTTAAAACTATTTTTTAATGTTTTTTTTTACCTGTCCTTCATCAGTCTGTCCATCATGACTTTGTTGTCACCTGTGAGTATAGCTACTTCATTTTGTGTCAGATCTTCCTTTGATAGAAGATTTCCATTCATCAAAACCTCAAAAGAGTTTGATAATCAGAACAATCTGAAATAAGTGGAATATTTTTACCAGGGTTTCCAGGGGAGTTTAAAAAAATATCTCATTAATTCTTTTTGCCAGGACAGGGCCTTCATTTTTATATCAAATCTTCAACAAAGTCTTTTATAAGGATAATGATCATAAAAGTCTGGAATTTATTGACAATTTTTATTCAGGGATTATAGATATCCCATATTTTAAAATTCTTGTTCATGTATAGTCACTATTTCTATTTTTTTTAGAATATTTCTATTTTACTTTCTGAGTCTAATTATTTATATGTACTTTATCCATATTTCATTGATGGGTTGATGCCCATGAGTCAGCAACTAAAAAACCAAAATTAAACAAAATAGACATCTGAGGCCCTGTAGATACACTGGTATCTCATATACCAGTAACTCTTTTCTTATTACACAGACTTTCTGATGAAAGTGCAGACAATGGTGGAATTGGTTCAAGTTTGTCAATGTATAAAAGTTCAACTGATTCCCTGTCTGCCATGTGGCACTACAATGATACAGACAGTGGTATAACAAGAGCCTGGTATTCTGTTGGGACATATCCATATGCTGAGGATATATCACCTAGATCTGAAGTGAATATATCCTCTACACAAAGTAGTCACATGGAAGTTGGTACTGTAACACCTGATATTACAGGTATATATAGTTTTGTTAAAATCAGTTTAATAGGAAGTATGAGTTGGTTGAATTATTATTCATCGGTATTGATTTATATTATCAAAGAACCTGAAGTGAGGTAAAGAAGCAGTTTCACTGTAGATAATTTACACATACCTGTACATTTGCTGTTCTCATATTTTACATGTACATAAAACAGTACATCTAGTGTGCATGTCCATTTTACATTAGTTGTATTCATGCTGGAACTTTTTTCATTGTAGGCAAACCAAATATAATCAGTATCTGGGCAGAAGATAAAGCTGGTATGATTGGTAGGACTACATTTGGTTCAATTATCATTGATACCAGTAAACCAGGAACAGGATATGTAACTTGTCCAGAATACATAGGGGTAAATAATGTACAAAGTTGTATGATTAGATAAGAAGTATTTCACAACTGATAATCATAAAAAAGGCTTCCTTCACATTCCTATAGAATGTGGGTTTTGATTTAGCCCTAGCCACTTAATAGTCTTACCTTAGTATCTCATTCTGTCCTTCCTTTATTTTTGTCATTCTGTAATCAAAGAGTTGACAGGACTTTTCATGCACCCGCCATAGGCAACGGGGGCATTAAGTGTTAGCCTTATCCATCTGTCCTGCCGTACGTCTTTCCATCCTCTGTCCCTCCCATTTTTGTTTCTACACTTTAACTTTAGTTTGCCTCATGAAAATTTTATGAAACTTGTACACAATGCGAAGAATAAAAACTCACAGACAGAGTTTGAATTTGGACAATGAGTCACTTATCGTTCTAGAGTTATGCCCCTTTTAAACTTGGAAAATTGCTAATGTTTAGTTTCAGCATTTTTACTGAAGTTTTTCTTATCCAAATTTTATGAAACCCATACACAATGCTAAAAACCACAACACGCAGACAGAATTTGGTTTTTTTTTGTACATATTCATTGATGACTTACATATTGGGTTTGCATTTCCCTCTGGTTAACAGTTTTTGGCCCTTTGACTTTCCTGAAAATTGTACACTTGTCTTGACTTTTTTGTAATCCCTGTAGATCTGGAGCTAACTTTTGGTACATTCGTATATGATGATGACATACAGGATGAGTTTGTTTCATTGATGTGATACTTCGGCTGCAGGCAGGTATATTCTTGTTGTAACCACCTATCTAGTTTTGCTTATCATTGGAGACATTCCAACAACTATAAATTGAACACCGATATAGGCGCTGTTCATTTGATATAGTGATTGTTTCTAATGGTATTTTTGCCAAATGGATATCTAACTCAAATCTTTTCTTTTTCTATTTATAGAAAATATTATATTCACTTCTTGACTTTTCAGGTGGAAACCCCAATACTGTGTTCATGGTCAGGATTTTTAGATGAAGAGAGCCCTATCCAGAAGTTTACCATTTCACTAGGATCAGAACAAGGATCCTCAGATATATTTGAAGAACATGTCAGTGGATTTGTTTCTTTTTATAATATGAAAGGTAATATATTGGGTTTTTTTTCAAATCTTTAGTTTTTTTGCATTTAACATTTACAGACAGTCTGGGATTAATTTTGTTTGACACATGATAAAATTTGTAAAGCTTCATGGATTGTTATTAAACTTAGACAGAAGCTAATCTTCAAGATCAAGAAATAGCCTCTGAAAAAAGCTTGATTTTTAAAAAAGAAATTCTGTATATTACTGATAAATGGACTTACTTTTTGAAGTCAACATTACAGTTTTACACTGACAGCAGCAATCACATGTGAAACACAGGGTTCTCGTGAACCTTTTACAAATTTTTTAATGAATATTTAACACTTTCACAGTATGTCATGGTATTTTTTCTTGCTTAGGAGTGAATCATCTTTTAAACCATGGCAAATCCTACTTTGCCACAGTAACAGCAATCAATTCAGTGGATATGGAAACATATGCATTCTCTGGACCCATCTCCATTGATACAACACCACCTACACATGGGAAAGTGGTGGACCTACATACAGTTTATAGAATCAATGTAAAAGACAACAGCGAAACAGTGGCAATGAATGCTAAAATCTGCACTACAGATGAAGGTTGTTATTTCTTTCAATTCCTTTAGGGAAAATTTTGTTTTTCAATGAGAAAAATAATGGTACAGTTGATTTCACTTGAGCTCACTTCAAATAAGTTTAATCATTTTGAAAAGTCATCATTAAGGAACTAGAGAAGTTAAACAGATTTAGCTACTTTATTAAATCACTCCTACAAAGTTTTTCATAATCCAAAGACCAATTTTTGAAAAAGTTATTAATATTTAATATTTGAATTTAAGTACCTTTTGCAAAATGTCAAAATGAGTTAACTCATTTTGCAGGTTTGTATGTAACAGTCAAATAGATTTGACAGAGAACATATTGTTCAATCATTATTCAATTTTGAATAAAAGGAGATGAGGGGTAAACAATGAGACAGCAACCCAGCAACAAAAATAACCAATAAAACATTTAGAGTTCAACTTTATACAGTCTTCAACAGTAGACAGGTGTCTATAGACTATTTCAATGTAGCTAAAATGTCCAGAGTCTATAAATACAGGATTTTTAATTTAAATTTTTTTAAATTGAAAACCTTTCATACCGTACTTCTATAACAAAGATACGGACTTTAATTGGAATTCTATTTTCCTAACAGATATAAATGTTCTGTTTTACAGAATGTGATGCCTTAGATGCCGTCTGCTCAGAGTCCCTTACTTCTGTATCAGCAACATGGCAGCTGTTTACTGATGATGAATCTGAAATTGTTGGGTTGGTATAAGAATAAATACTGTAGAAAATACATAAGTAAGTTCCGTTGAAGTTAATTGTACTTATGTTCTGGAATCTCTGCCTTGGTGGTTGTGCTAAAATGGAAATGACTTTTCCACCCTTCACAGAGATGCTTATATAATTATCTGTTTATTTTGCTACTAAAGTCTTGAACCAAAAGAATAAAGAAATTAAAGTTGAAATCTTAGCCATTTCTATTGACATTCAGTGTAATTAAACAGATATATCATGTCCATGAGGGGTGTTTGCAAAGATACCAAACTTTCAAAGAAATTTTTACTTGTATTCCTGCGAACAATATATCTGAATATCTTAATGTTTATTCAAATTACATTCCAATAGGATTAAGTATGTTTTCTTTTACCTGCATTAATTAACTAATATCAATACTGTATCTCACTCAGATAAATTTGATAAAGATAAAAATGTCAAGTCCTTTGAATAGAAATAAGAAGATGTGGTATGAGTGCCAATGAGACAACTCTCCATCCAAGTCACAATGTGTAAAAAGTAAACAATTATAGGTCAAAATACGGCCATAGTTTGATATGGTGATATAGCTCTGATTCAGATAGATTTTTATGCCCCACTGTTGGCAACAGGGCGTTAAGAGTTACCCTTGACTGTCCGTCCATCCTTCTTCATACACAATGCAAAGAACCAAAAAGAGCAGACAGAATTCGAATTTTGTCAGTGAGTCACTTAGAGCTATGCCCCTTTTCAATTTTTCAGTTTCTGCAATCTAACTTAAGTTTGTCTCATCCCAATTTTATGAAACTCATACACAATGCTAAGAACCACAACACGCAGACAGAGTTCAAATTTGGGCAGCGAGTCATTTACCGTTCTAGAGTTATGCCCCTTTTTTACTTGAAAATTTGCAAAGCTTGAGCGGTCCTGTTCTCCGACACATTCTTATTTTATTTTTAACAGATTGCAGAACACTGACATGTACTAGTTCCAGTTGTATAAATATATATTATTTGACAATAACAATATAACAGGTACCAGATAGCAGTAGGAACAACACCGGGTGGGGGACAGATTACGTCTTTCTTTGATATACCTGAGGATGCTAGACATTATACAGTACCTTATATAACTATTATTTTACAATATAACAGGTACCAGATAGCTGTAGGAACAACACCAGGTGGGGGACAGATTACGTCTTTCTTTGATATTCCTGAGGATGCTAGACATTATACAGTACCTTATATAACTATTATTTTACAATATAACAGGTACCAGATAGCAGTAGGAACAACACCAGGTGGGGGACAGATAAGAGCTTTCTTTGATATTCCTGAGGATGCTAGACATTATACAGTATCTGGGCTGAACCTGATGGGATATAGAAAGGTTACTAGGATATTTTGTTTCATTTTTTACATAAAAATGTAAAACTGTAGTTTATTATTGTATGGTCTTACAAATAATATTTTCTAATAAAGAAAATAAATCATTGCATTTAAATGTAAGGATATATAGAAATTTCCATGTCACTGTCCATCTAACTGTCTGTTTGGATGAAATGCTTTGTCCTGTGTCAAGTTCCTTTTAAACTTTGTAATATAACAAATCATGAAAGGCATGAAGGCATTACCAAAAGCAAAGGTTTTATTCTGCTTAGTTTGTAATACTCCACGAAGAAAAGTCAGGGGCTTATGGGTAATCACTTTGTTCATCTGTCTTTCCTTCAATGTGTTAAAAACAAATGGTTTGTAGATGGAAACTTTAATATTCCTTGCTTGATTGGAATGGAATTTATTATGATTGAAAATATAGGGAAGGGGAAAGAATCCTATTGATTTTGAGATCAAAGCTAAGGTCAAGGTCACTCTTGCTAAAAATTGAGTTCTGGTTAATTGAAGTAGTAATGTTTGATCACCTTTTTCCAAACACATCTTGTCAATATAACTTATTAGTTGATGAATTGTCCATTCAGAAAGGTGTGTTATGGTTGATTTCTGTTCAACCATCTAACTGTACCTTTTCGAGTATGTAAGCCTCATACATTTGTTTATACAATTACTGTATATATTATAGGTTTATGTATCTATCAGAGGAACAAATGGAGCTGGAGTTTCAAGTGTAGCTACTTCAAATGGAGTTTATATATCCTACCTAAGTCAAGGCCTTCAGCCATTGTCACATATTGCAATCAGTGATGTACTGGAAAACTCTGATGTTGATGTGTAAGAAATTAATTTAAACTTGTTCTGTTGTAATTACCACGAGAAGCATTCATGCTACCTCAGTATGTATTGTAAGCATTCTGGCTAATTTACTTCTTTTCAAACTTTAATAGGATTTTAAGCATAAATTTCCTTTCAATTATATATATAAAGCTTCAATATAAAATCATGTTCATAATTATAACCATGTTGCATTAAACTTGTCCATCTGCTGTCGGTTTGTCCAACAGTTGTTTAATCACACTTTTCAGTAGTACCTGTGAATAGAATAACTTCATAAATGGTTAGCAGCTTGATAATGACAAGTTGAAATGTGAGAGCACTTTTCAGATTTGTCAGAAACCTTTTTCCAGTCTGCCAATACTTTGGATTGTTCAATATGTTTTTGTCCAACCAACTTTTCATTACTATTCACTATATAGAAATTATTACAGAGATTTCCAGAAGAGTTTTGACACACTAAGAGCATCATGGGATTTGTCAGGTGACCCTTGCCCATCAGTGAGAAATGAATGGCAGATACAGAGGCTAGATGGAAAAGTTATCTCAGAATGGCTAGACATGCACGGTAATTATACATTTACAATTATTTCATGTTATTTAATGTATTATCATTTATTGAGGTGCTTTGTTGTCATGGTTTTCTGTTAACAACAAATTAAAATGTGTATATTTTTAATGAACAAAAAAAAATACTCAGTTTCTACAATGTTTACATTAATGAATAGAAAACTGTTGAATGTAATGTAACAACACTTGCAACAATTGGCATGTATGCTCATGAGATTGGAAGGACATATGAAGAGGAGAATGTTTTCTCACTACAAGTCAGATAGTAACCTCTTTAATTTTTTTAATCTTGGTACAACCATTTAATGGTATTAGTTGTATGTTTTATCTGCAACTAGAAAAATAAATATTCAGAAATGTTTTCTTTCAGTTTCAGAAAATGGAATGCTTGATGGACTCCATTTGAATGACAGAGAACTGTATTATTCCTTGTTGAGAGTAACAAATGCTTTGAATTATACCTACATTATTAGAAGTAATGGAGTAACTATAGAAGAAGATCCTCTGCTTCCAGGCAAAGTGTTTGATGGATATATAACTGGATTTGACTTGAATATACTTCCTTCTCAACGTAAGGTCACTGCAAACTGGGATGGTTTTGGTCTGCCAGCATCTGCCTCATTTCAGGTAGATGTTGAAGGTAGGTTTCATTTATATTGAATTTTGAATGAAATGTCTTCCTAAAAAAGATCACAACAATGAAATCTCACAATTTCAAAATCTTAAGGTATATCTAAGTAAGGCACTCATTTGTATTGAAAGTGTTCATTAGTTAGAGTCAGTGATACAGTTTTCATTACAATATTTATTTTAGGAAATCCAGGATATCAGGTAGATGACTCAAAAACTGAGGAACAACGTAAAACACAACAGGTATTATTTTATGAAGTAGCTGTTGGAACAGACAGAAGATTTCCTAAAACCAGGGATAATGTTGTACCATTTACAAATATTGCTGGGAACAAATCTGTCACATTCTATGATCTTAACCTAGAGTCAGGATTAGCAAAGTATTACTTTACTGTCAGAGCCTATAGTGTATCTTATTCTGTTGCCACGGTGACATCTAATGGTTTCCATGTTGGATATGATGGTGGTGTTGAAGGTAAGTTCTTTGTTGCAATCTATTTCCCTTACTTAGTTTCAAGTGGTTGTCTATTGTCTCCCTGCTTTTAAACTTTTTCTAGTAATCTCATTTTCAAGCATTTGGCAAAGTAGATTTTAACTCTGCTGCATCTGTCTTAAGAGTATCTTGAAATTAAAATTTATTTGATGATTGTTCTGGGAGACTATTCTTTGCTGTTGAAATTATTAATCAAACTTGGCAGAAAAAATCTGATGGGTAATTTTAAGATGGCAAAAATTTTCAGCACTTTAGGCAAGATGGATGTTAAGAATTGGTTTTCTTTCAACTTAAAATTTGGAGAACTTGCTTAAAATTTGATATATCAACCGCAATATAACTTATATGTAGAAAAACTTTTGAAAAAAAATCTTTCAAAGTTTTCTTTTCCAAAATCACTAAATCTAAATGTTTGCACAGGGTAGTTAGTCTAAACTTAGAACATATTAGCTTAAGACTAATAAAGTTTTGAAAACAATGAATATAGCATTTTAAAACTTTATCCTGATATATTAATTACTTTTGTAGGTGGATCTATTATCATGGGAGACTATATCAATACAGATACTTATGTAGATATACAATTTGAAGGTTTTACATCTAAGTTGGATATAATGATGTATTATATAGGACTGTCCAATCACACACAAGTTGTTGGAACTGACTGTAAACAATATGTAAGTATTATTTTGTTAGTTCGATGTTTAATATATAGCATTGCTATATATTGATAGACCTATACATATAGACACATACTTTTGCTATTGTTTTAAATCCAAGAAATAACCAAATCATTAAAATGTTCGCTTTTGTTATATTTTAGATTAAAGGTCGTGAAGGAAAGCAAGCTGTGGAAAAAGCATTTAATGTAGCACCATTGATCAACATTAACTTAAACACATTCTTTACTCTGACATCGCTTCGGTTACAGTCAGGAGGAACATACTATTCCTGGGTTATAGGTAAAAACTGGTATTGTGGATTGTGTATTGACTATTGACTATTGTGCATTCTGAACGCTTAACTGTTGTGAATAAATATCCTTGTCTTGAATATGTATGAAATATCTGTCACTGGACATAAAGCAAACAACAATACATCAGTTTATCTTAAAATTCCCCTATTTACAGAATTATATTCACTTTTGATTAAACATGCAATCAAAAAGTGTCACAAAGATAAATGTCAGTTTTGCTAAGAAAAGTAGACAGGAAAGTCACATATGATTGAGTGTTACATTTCAGACAAGGCAAAATATTTCATTGTTTACATACACTTAAAAAGACATCCAAGTCATACTTATCTGATTTGATCTTTTTTCTATTTATATTACAGCTGCAGATGAATCAGGAGATTGCGGAATGATTCACCACAAATTCACAGTTGATACAACACCTCCAATGTATGGTGCTATGACTGCGGGTCCATTTTATAACATGGTATATTTTTTTAAATAGGTTTTTTTTATCATTTTGCGTCATACTTTTGTCCTCTGTTAGCTTTTACAAAAATTTTCTCCTCTGAAAAAATTGGGACCAAACTTGGCCCCAATCATCTTTGACCCTGCCTGCCAATCAACTTGGCCGACATGGCTAAAAATAGAACATAGGGGTAAAATGCAAGTTTTGTCTGTTATCTTGATCTTGAAAACTATGAAATGATAAAATCTGAGAGGGGCAAAAATGTTGAGAATTTGGAGATCTACCTACTGTCCATTTACATCAAAACTGTCAGACGACTTCTTATAGGAGTTATTGCCCTTAAATGATGAGTTTTTACCTTTTTAGCTCACCTGGCCCAAAGTGAGCTTTTCTAATCACTCAGAGTCCGTCGTCCCTGGGCGTCTGTCGTCCTCTGTTAACTTTTACAAAAATCTTCTCCTGAAACTACTGGACATGGCCACAATCATCATTGGGGTAACTAGTACCAAGATGGCCGACGGCTTTAAATAGAACATAGGGGTAAAATGGAAGTTTTGTCTATTATTTTGAAAACCGTTATAAATAGAGAAAAATCTGACAAGAGCAAAAACGTTCAAAATGTTGAGCTTTACCAATTGTACATATAAGTCAAAACTGTCAGACTACTCCTTATAGGAGTTATTGCCCTTAAATGACAAATTTTACCTTCTTTTTTTTCATTTTTGCCTATTATCTTAATAAAAACTATAATAGATAGAGAGAAACTTTAAACTGCAAAAATGATCAGCACTACAAGTTCCACATTTAAGTCTCATGGTCGAAATCGTCAGTGGACTCCTTATTAGAGTTATTGCCCTTTGATGATGATTTTTATCAATTTTTTTTGCGTTTTTGCCTTATATCTTAAAAATTATAATAGATAGATAGAAACTTAGATAAGCAAGGATGTTGTCCAACTACTCCTTATTGTAGTTATTGCCCTGTAATGACGATTTTTACCATTTTTGGGGCGTTTTGCCTTATATGATGAAAATTATAATAGATAAATAGACAATTTGAATCACAAAAATGATCAGCAAGGCAAGATCTACTAACAAGTCAAATTTTGCTGATATAGTTTGTAGACTGTCACTCTTTATAGGAGTTATTGCCCTTAAATGAGGATTTTTTTTTTACCCTCTTTTGTGTTTTGAGCAAAAACTAAAGAATATAGAGAGAAACTAAACACACTAAATGATCAGCAATACAAGATCAACAAAACAGAGATTTTTGTCATGAATTCTATTCTTGTCTACAATGTCCTTTGTTAAATATGCACATAGAGCAAGGTGAGCGACACAGGCTCTTTAGAGCCTCTAGTTTTATGTTTTGGGCAAAAACTGAAGAAGATAGAGAGAAACTGCAAATAGAAAAAATAATCTGCATAAAAGAGACTTTTGTCATGAATTATATCCTAGTACAAATTGTTGGAGGATGTCAATCATTGAAGATGCACATAGATCTAGGTGAGCAACACTTTTTAGAGCCTCAGTTTTCTAATTTCTAAGAATCTGTCTAACACAAAACTGATTGAATAACTATATTGCTAATGACATGGCTAATTAGAACTGAAAAATTGGAAGAATGAATTAACTCTTTTTTTTATAGCACTTGGCCTACACTTCTGACAATACAACTGTCAGAGTTCAATGGACAAACTATAGTGATCCAGAATCTGAGATATCAACATATGAAGTTTCACTGTGGAGGAACACATCATGTTATTCTGATGGAGAGGAAGAACTGTTGGTAGATTGGATAGAATTAACAAACAACTACACAGAATACAGCTTTGTCAATTTGAATCTTACAGTATGTTATAACAATTCACCATATACAATGTATACATAAAAGGAAAAATAGAAGTTTCAATGAAAAAGCAATTTTAAAAGGAAACCATCCAAAAAGTAAAATAATTTCCTTACCTTTTGTTTTTAAAAGCAACGTAAGAGAAAAAGTTTAGAACAAGGTATCTGCCAACAGTCATACACTAGTAGAAAATGTTCTCTTCTGGACTGCCTAACTTGATTCATCTAAAGCCGGAAAGGTACACAGAATGAATAAACATCATGTGTGTTACTGTAAATTCAGAAATTATTGTTTTTGGTTACTGTGGATTCATTTTTCTTTGTTGGATACCAATTTTCATGGATTTCGTGGGTACAGGTCAACCACAAATTTAAATGTTCAACAAATTATAAATTTTCCATTGGCTTGTATGCAGACATTGGCAAAACCACGAAATTAAATATCTGCGAAAGTGTAAGTTTTCCTCAATCCACTAAAATTGGTACCCTCGAAAATAAATGAATCCACTTTATTGCAAAATAAAAATTTGCATTTTAAATTTTGATAACATTATTTGTATGCAGCATTTCCTGAAAAGGCAATGGTTAATCTCATGTTTGTGTTGATTGTCCAACAATCGCATTAAGTACCAATCTGCCTAAGTATCAGGCAGTGGTGAAAACATGGCAAACAAAAACCCGCTCAGCTTTACATTAATTTAAGTTCAGAATGTATAATGGTGCATGAAAATGACATTCATTTCCTTTCCCTGTTCTGGTAATTCAAGATATAATTTGGTTGAAATGCACTAGAAATTAACAATTAAGGGGAGATAACACCATAATTTGCTATCATTCTAACCAAAATTTATCTAGATATTTCTCGAATTACCAGACATGCAGAAACGAAAAACCTACCATTTCTAACTCAGGATGAAGGTATCTTCAAAATAGGGTGGTTAGGTCGGTGGTTTTTTTTCGGCCATGTTTTGAATTTTTTCTAATTTGCCTGATTCTTACAAAGACTGGCACTTAATAGATGCTTGCAAGAATTTCTCAATGTACAGTATACTAGGTAAGCCAATAGATAGCAAGCTCCTTTCAGCATCTAGTTTTGTATTTCAACAACAGTTGTATCTCCATTTTTGGCTAAAAAGACACATACAGTTTCACATTTTTTCACAAATTAGAAATATTCTTTTAGAAATTTTTTTAACAAGTCAATAAATACTGCATGTTAAATTTGTTATTTTCTTTTACGCTGTTACTTAAACCACCTGCAGTTATTGAAGTTGATCAAACAAATTCTATTTGAATTATTTGCCGGTAAAAAGACAAAATAATTGGTTCATTCACTGAGTTTAAGATCACTATTTTAAAACTGTTTGGTCACATGTATTTGTAATTCTTGCTTTCATTTTCAGATGAATATACCATATACTGTTAGGTTTAAGGTTATGAATGGTGCAGGTCTGGACATCCTACAAAAATCTTCACCAGTTCTATATGACCCATCAAAACCAACTGCTGGGACCTTGCAGGATGGACCTGACTTTTCAACACCACAAGTTTGGTTTAGTTCAACTATGACAATAACAGGTGAAGACTTTTCTTTCATGTAGCTAGCTATATATATATATAGAGTGACATACACTATGTTGAAAAATACCGTTGAAAATTTATTTATCTGATCTGGTATTGCAAAGAATGTTTCATTCACCACTCTTTTTAGGGTAAAATTGAACAACACCTGTCATCCATAAATGATTTGTAGATGTTCTAATTAGGTGGGGATTTTGTAGTTTATACCTTTTATGGGTTTTTTTTTCATCTAAAAGCATTGTAAGTAATGTCCATTTTCATAACAATTGTTTTTTTGTGTTTTGAATGGAGTTGAACAATCAAATAGCAGTTTAAAAAAAAAACACACATTTTTTCAGTTATTTGAAAACAATTTAGATAAAGTGCGATCTCACACCTTTTACTTATATTATTAACAGAAGTTCTTAAAAAGAATGATGCATGACTTGTAAGTATGGCTTTTTCTCCTCCATCATGTCAATTAATTGTTCTTGTGGTATTGTTTAAGGTTCAATACTGCACTTTGCCAATCCTCTTGGTTCAGTCTGTCCATCAAGACATATTTCAATGGTGAATGATCCTGACTGGAATGCACTGCAGCAAATTGGTCTCAAAGATCCAAGTGGCAAGAAATGGTCATTACTGTATCAAACACAAAATATTAACAAGGATTTATATGATGATGTTGTTTCTGTTAAACTAGCACGAGACCACAAAAAGATGCAGATGTTTACTGGTGCATATTACATACCTGCAAGTTTTGAAAATGGTGGCACATATCATGTAAGTTAATAAAAGACTTTCTTACCTTCTTTTCAAAATATGAAAAGATAAACAATTATTCTATTTCAACAGAACTGACTCCGTGGTTTTGTAGTAGCATGTCTTGACTGCAGGAGGTTGTGTTTTCCAACCCAGGCTTGATCAAACCAAAGACTGTAAAGATGGTATTTGCTGCTTCTCCATTAAGCCATTCTGCACCAAAAACTTTTCCAACTACTGGTCAGAAGACTAATATTCCGCCATTTTTCTTATGTGTCTAAACAAAGTTTTGAAATACTTGCTAGTTCGAAAAATTTTTTACTAGTCTGGGGCATCTGACTAGTGGCTAACGGTGCACAGTTAAGCACACAGCATTAGGGATTTATTCAGAGCAAAGACTGGTGTGCTCAGAGTCAGAATAAATTGTCAGGGTAGGGTGTCATGTCTTCCTGCCGGCAATAACCTTGTGAACAAGCAAGATAAAAATCTGGCTCGGCATGTTGGTCTAAAACAAAGAAGGGTTAGTATTCACATCGCACTAGCATGTTCTCGTTCTGAATATGCATTAGATATGCCATTGAATTTTAAACAGCCACCAATCCATTTATATTAACAGTCTTTAGCTCAAATTAAAATAGCTTTTAAGTCCAAGCAATTTCATTATTTTATATTCTTTTAGATTTCTGTAAAACCTGCGAACGGACATGGAATTGCTGTAACAGAAATATTATTCTGGGATGGGCAGGATACCAGTATTGCAACCTTTCAATATGAAGAACCAGTTGACTGGGCATCATCAGTTTGTCAGTGTTGTTTACTGAAACCAATACCTTTGGTAAAATCATGTTCATGCTTTTATAAGTGTTTTACTTTTTTATCATATATTATTTCATGTATAGATAGATTTATTAATTTAATGAAAATTTTGGTACTATTGCACACATGGTAGTATATTGGTTTTTATTCAATGATATGGTTTATTCTGGTAAATAGTAAGAAACTGGAAGAAAACATATTAGATATCGTCATCTTTTAAGAATGTTTTCATAGCTTTTTTTTTTTTTTGGGGGGGGGGGGGGGGGGGGGGGGTGTAAAATTAACTTGCACACACAATTGAAGCCTGAAAAATTAAGAAAAAAGAATGATACAAGATTTTTAAGATGACAGATATTTTCAGTGTCTAACATTTGCCAGTAGATCCAGCAGGCAATAAAAGTTATATATAATTGAAATAAGCACCTTCTTCACATTAATATTCAACAATTAAACAGTGGAAATCTAGTGAACGAGAACAATAGAAAATTCACTCTTCTCATGAAAAAGTCAAGAAAATAAGAAATAAAACAATGCCAGTGACAATACTGATCAAAAGTTATTTTCTAAACAATAGTTGTACATTTTTAAGATATATTTGTTATACTGTTTTTAAAAATGTGCATGCAAATACATGATGTTTTATGTTCAGCATTTATTAAGATATTGCATTAGAAGCTTGTTTCACTGAAATTTAAAAAATGTTAAAATTGCTAATCCAGCTGCATACATTAACGGATAATTGGCATGTTCCAGGAAGGTATGCAGCCAGTAGAAAAATAAATTGAAGTTGGTACTTCAGGATTTTTTTTTGCATAGCATAGCAACATTTTAGACCAATTTTACACCAAGCTCCTATAGCCTGCTGTACTCCTCGTTTGCTTTGCTAGGAGGGAAATGATAACATTAAATGGAAATTTTGTTTTGATTTGATTTGATTTTTATTTTTACTATTAACCAGAACGTTTTCTCGTGAATTTCTAATTGATAGCATCCTTGCTAAAACGGGACAAATATTGAAAAGATCAAGTTTTCAGTGTTTACAGGGGAGGTAATATTTTATCACTAGATTTCCCCTCTGTAAATGAATATTTGTGCTTTGATTTAGTCTTTTGATTGTTTTAAAGGCTGACATATGCTGTTTGTTTATCAGACATTTTAAATATTACAGGACTGTGATTATTGTAATTGCTCGAGATATCTGTCAGATAAATATGGAAACAGTACAATACCTACAGTACCTAGTACTACAACAGGAACAACAATCCTGACAACAACACAGCCATATGATATCGTCAATAATCCTGATAACAGTGATGTTTCAGAACCCGTAGATACCAGTAAACCAATAGCACAACGAGCATGTGGCATTCAAGTGTTTTCGGGTACCGTTAAGATAATTTTATTTTTACACAATCTTCACTCAGATATACTGCTGAAGCCTCCATATTGCCATTCTGACTCCTCAGTATGTAGATTTAACATTAAATTATTTTAATCATTTTAAACTCACCTAGCCCAATGGTTCAGTTATGAAAGTAATAATAAAAAAACACAATTATGGTGCTTCAATGAGCACTCATTATTCAATATAGTCCTGATGACACTGCGCTAACAGCTAAACATCATTACCTTATTAAGCACTGACTATGTGTTAACCAGGATGTTGTTGCATTATCTATACTTCATTTTTAATTTTTAGTGAACTGAAATTTGTTTTTCTCTTGCAGATCAAAATCCCAAGATAGTGACTTGGTGTAGATCTTTTAATGACATCTATCCTGTAATGAAGACAGCTGTGGATTATAACATCACAGGAGAATTTGTAAACTTCAAAATCATATTTAAACCCGAGATGGACGATGCAGTTGATGTAAGAATTATATTCGCCATATTTGTTGCATTGTAGGATACCTAGTAGTACAGTACATTGATAATGTTTGCAGTCAAGTTTTTCAAGTCTGCACATTGCATCAATGTACAAAGTAATGTGATATTTTTGAAGGTGTATAGACATACAATAAGGCAGTGTGTCACGAAAAAAATAAATACAAAAAAAAAACAATATCAACAACTTTATGTTTCAAACCTTGGACAGAGCTTCTTCATGATCAAGAAATAGCATCTGATGATTAAGTTTGATTTTTTATATTTTTCCATTTATTACTGATCAATGGACTGAGAAATGGACCTTTTTTTGGCAGCAAACATTACACTTTATACAGACAGCAGCAATTTTCAGGCCAGACACAGGGTTTGGTGGAACTCTTTACAATTTTTCTTTTCTATTTCAGATATCTTTGTGTCTTATTGTATCTGTAAATAATGAGGAATTAACAGAATTATGTGGAATACCTATTCTAAGTAAATCAACAAAATTAGTGCTTCACGTTTTCAACCGTGATAATTTTGTGCCAGATATTACAGATAAATTCAACATATTTTCCACCAAAGCATATTTCAAAAATCTTATCCTGCCACCACCAACCGGTGCACTTTGTCGCTATGGTGATCCATTCAGAGGCGGGACTAATCCGATAATAAAATATGAAGTTGGTATTGGAAGTGACAAACTTTTAACCGATATTGTGCCATTTAGAGAAGTGATAGTACCCTGTATACCTTGCTTTGGAGAATGTTCTAAATATAACTGTGAGAGGAAGTGTAGTGTAAATCAGCAAGTGGATTTCAGGTTTACTTTGACAGACTTAAATTTAAAACCTCAGGTTGTTGATCTGAATGAAACTGGACACTACTATAATAAGACAATAATCTATTATCTTACAGGTTAGTTATTGTAATTATACCCTGGTTTTGACGGAAAATTGGTTGAATTAAGTTATTTCTCCCCAATCTGTATCTGCATTTGTCTGTCCAAACCCTTTTCTGCCATATTTTCTATCGCTAAAAAGTTAATAATAATCCTCTTTTTTTTTGGTTCAAATAGAAAAATCCGATGCTGTTTCACAACAGATTCCAGTTACTTTGTAGAAAGATTGCACATATATTTTTCCAGACATAAGAACTAAGACATTTTATCAGCAAAATTTTCAAAAGAAAGATTTTGGTTAATCAATACAGTTTTCAGCCAAAATTCTTGTAACTTGAGAAAGTTAAAAAATTCAAGCGAATGTCAACTAATTCAATCTTATCAAAGTTAGAATATAATACATATCAGATGTTTTGAAATAATTTGAAAATATGATGGCATTTAGTTGTAAAGATATACTTAAACCTGTGCAACTAGAAAGACTTGTGATACTTGTTTGAGGCAACAAAAAACAAATATCAATCAGAATTCTTACACCTTATATATCATCTCTTGCTTGGTTTCTGATTACACTTTAGTTGATACATTTTAGGAAAAGCTGTTACAGGGGCTGGGGATACTGCACTGTCATCATCGTCAGGATTTTATATTGACCTTACAAGACCTGTGTTTGACCTTGATGTAATGTTGACCAGTCCAATATATATTGATGCAACACAAGGAGAGTTTCAGCCAATTAGATACCAAGCATCCAACAATACTATTAAAGCTTTCTGGAGATGTACAGATGAAGAAAGTCAAATAAAGGTAATGAAGTGCTTGCTTTAACAGAAAAAAGAAACACTATACAATGCACCTGTTGTACTTCTTGTTTGCAATTGATCAAAAATTAAGATTTTAAACAGATTTTTTAAGAAAATGTCAGTTTTGAAATAAATTTTGTGTCCAAACAACAGCTAAATTTGCAGTTCCATAGCTCGATATAACTGCTTTGATAGTCTCTTGGTAGCTTGCTTGTCTTGAGTGTATGAGTTTGTTTCTTCGTTCAGTAATACATGCTGAATAATTAATTCCTGATAGAATCAAAGAAAAGAATGATTACGATCTCTATAGTGACAGCACCAACAAAGATGCAAGTTTCAAAATTTCTAACAAAGTAATTTTGTTAGAAATTTTGAAACTTGCATCTTTGTTGGTGCTGTCACTAAGGCTTGAAAAGATTTGTTTCTGATGCAATTTTATAAATAAAAGGAAGCAACTTTTCAATCTACTATAGATATAATTCTACTTTTAATATTTCTGCTAGCTATAGTGTAGGTCTACTTTTAATATTTCTGCTAGCTATCGTGTAGGTCTATTTGTCAACACTCTTCATTTGCATTATTCAATAATCTCTTAAACTTTTTCATGCTTACTCATTATAAATGTTGAGAATAAAGAAACTAAAAAAAAATTTTAAAAATTCAGTAAAAACCTCTTTTTATAAGAATATTAAAAATTTTGTTACACTTTTAGGAAAATTTGTGGGCTATTGGTGAAACACCAGGTGGAGAGGAAGTTCAAAGTTTTCAGTCCATTGGCTATAACATGACCGCCCTTAATTCATCACTAGAGGGCATCCTAAAGCATAACCATACATACTATGTATCTATCATTTGTATTAATGGTGGTGGGAAATTGGCTTACTGGAATGATACAATAGGTAAGTTGTAAAGGTATAGAACCACTAATTTGGGACCGGTCAGAAAGAACATACAAGAAAGTAGTACATATTACAAACAAAATAGTTCCTACACATAGCTGTATGTCACTATGTAAAATATTTGGGTAATTTTATAGCAAATGGAAGCTTAAGGACGTGGGATCACTGTAAGACCCTTGTTAAAAGTTTCTTTTTAACAATAAAAAAATATACGAAATGAAATTAGGAGAGCATATTTGCCCTGTTGCTCAGATCAGAAATACCTGTTTGTGTACTACCCAACTTACGGGAACAAGTATGCAATTAAAGGTAAGTTAATTTTTTCAGCACAAGTCAGGATAGAGTATAGTTTTGACTTGAAATGACTGTCACTTTATTTGAACTTAAGACAAAATAGCTATAAATGATATAAGTTGCAGAATTTAACATAGAAAGAAATGGGGCTATAAATTAGTGGTGTTATTCCTAAAGAAAATAAGTGAACATTTGTGTGGTCAAAAATTTGTAAACAAAGCAAATATTGTAAGGCATCCTTCAAATGAATGTTTTTTACTAGGCCATCAATACTTTTAAGATTTTAGAAAATGTTATCCAGTGAAACCTGTCCAAACCAAATACCCTTGGGACTTGATGTTTTATTCAGTTTTCACAGGTGTTCAGATTGTAGAGGTAATTGGCAGTTGATGGATTAGAATAATTTCGACACTGTCTGATGATGCCGCTCAGTTGTAGATAGTCAACATCCAAATTTTGATATCCCATAAGTATATCCCAAGACATATTGTAGAGATTATATACTTTCTCAACTCATTAGCTGAAAAGAAAAGGGTTACACTATTTACTGGTGTAATTCACTAGCCAAGAGTTGAAGGGTAACCTTATGAGACAAGAATATAGTCAAAGTAAGTGTATTTAAGAAGCTCCTGAAATATTCAGGACCTCCATTATTCGAATTCAGGATATCCATAAATCATTGAGGACCTCTTGAAATATTACAGGACTTCCATAATTTCATTTTAGGATATCCTGAAGTCGATTTAAGGATGTCCTGAAATCAAATTGTGGTGGTTCTGAAATATTTCCAGATATCCTAAAATTAAATTATGGAGGTCCTCATATCTATTAGGATCCAGAAATGTTTCAGGATATCTTTGAATCTAAGTATGGAGTTCCGGGAATTTTTCAGAATCTCCTTAAAAACAATAATTATGACTAAATCGGCAGCTCATATGACCTCAAGTACTTCATTTTCTTTCACCAGTAAACTCCCTGTTATATTATGATAAAAATCTAAAGAAATTGGCATAAAACCTCATGTGTAAATTAAACAACTACAGTTATATAGATAATCATACAGAGCAAATCTATTTTGTATTAAAATGTTTTTTTTTCATTTATTTAGGTGTTGTAGTACTATTGGAGCCACCAGAGGTTGACAATTTGAAAAATAGTATACTGGGAGACATCCAACCATTTGAAGAAGCAGTAGTCCCTACTGATGCCATGGAAAGTACAGATCCTACAACTATAGGGTTCACCTTTACTGTTAGTGAAGATAAATCTGTAAAGAGATATGGTATGTTCATTTTGTGCTGTTGTTGATTTCAGGGGCTTTTGAAATTAGACTATCTACTACTATTTTGGTGCATCTTATTTGTCTCGCCTGCAAATATGCTATTGTGGGCTTGGATAATTGTTTTTTTTTTATATATTACAACATATATCAGTATTATAGTGTCTTTTGTCTTTTCTCAATGAAGTTGCAGAGACGAGACCAAGGTATGCTGTGTAACACAATGTATAAGTTTGTGATTAGGTCAGTCTCAGCTGAATGACTAGTGGTATGTCAATTATATTTGGTATGCAGTTGCATAAGCACTGGCACATCTCATTTCATGGACATTATTCAACGCCGCCCACTCAGTCATAGTATATTGACTTTAAAAATTTTGCTATCCTTACATGTTAAAGTCAACAATGTATGATGCTGTCAGAGCTTAAAAAACAATACTGTTATCTCCATTCTAATGAAACTGACAGAAAACAACGTCAAATCATACATTTAAAATATGTCATACCTCATCTGCGCTTGCGATACATTTTCATAGCATTAATTGTGAATTAATGCCATGAAAATTGGTGAAGTTATCCAATCAAAATTAACGTAACAAATGATGTTGCATTAGAATGATATTTGGTATGCAGTTGTATAAACATTGGCAGTTCTCATGTCTACAGAGATTATTTGGCCCTGCACTTTCAGTCATGATTGATTGACTGAATATTTTGCATTGTTTAAATGTTAAAGTATTGCCATTTTTATTTTAACATTTGCATTATATTATCTATATTACATACAGGCAAGACATATCTCTGTGTCAACAGTTTTTTGTAAAACTATTGTGTAAATAGAATCATCTTTTATTTACATAGAAAGTATTAGATATTTAAAGAATCAATTCTTTAGATAAAAAGCTCTTTGATTTGATTGTCAAGATGATAATTTTTCAAGTGCACATCAAAGACTGAACATTTTTTGGAAGTGCACAAGTTTGAATATATGATCTTCGATTTTGTGCTTTTTCACCGAAATATTAGACGTCACAAAGCGAATATCTTTATGTCACAATGTTCTATGACATGTTTCCCCAAAATGATCCTAGGTCAACCATGGCATTTCATTCATAAAATGGAAAATGTAATCTAGTGTATTCATGTCATATGTAGAAAAGACGTAAATAGAACCATATATCAGTATATGGTTGTTTAGTTACATATAAGTTATTTGATTTTTAGAGATATGTATTGGAACAGACAAATATTTAGACAACATTTTCCCTTGTACCTGGGTTGGTTATAACACGTCAGGATCAGCTTCTATCAAAGATGGATATTTGTATATAGATGATATCAAGCTGAGACCTCTGTCAGAGCTTAAGACCAAAGTTTGGAATATCTCCTACGAATCAACGGAGAACAAGACAAGCGTATTCCATATGGAACCAGGACGGACATTATTTATGACTATGAGAGTTTGTAATGAAGCAGTACTCTGTACCAATAAGTCAATAGGCAGTGTACTGATAACTAATACAGAAACTGTATTGAAAACATCAGAACACGGAGAATCCATTGAAATTATACAGTCAGTTGCTACTAATTCAACACGGAAAAAGAGGGACACAGATGTGATTGTTGTTACAACACCTGAAGGACTGGAACCTGGACAAACAGTTGTACTACAGCCAATATCAGAGAAGGATCTAAACACAGAATACAGATCTGATTCTTCAACAGATTTCCAACCTTATATTGTTAATCCAGCAACTTCATTTGACATGGTTGAAAGATTATTGTATAGAAGGTATGAGTCTTTTTTATTTTGAAATTTAATGGTACAACAATAATCTTTTAATTGTAAATGATTTTGTATCTGTTAAAAGTTTATCACATTATTAATAGATTATGTTATGGCATTTGCCTTATTTTCCCAGCTGGTATCATCCCAAGACTCTTATTTGAGCTTGAGGGCTTATATGGATTGAGGACTGATACCAGGGATGATATGGACAGAGCCTCCACTGTAAAATACAGGAATGATTACTGCAAGTTTGTGATGCACTGTTCTAGTAGAAATGATATATTAGGTTATGAAATTTGAGTAGAGATCATTGCTAAATCTTAACAATGATAAATGAAGGCTTAACCAAATTGAAATTGTTGGGAAAACAACTTTTTCTAAAGTACATGTATTGCGATCAAGATGACAAGTTGAATTTTCTTAATTTATGAAAGAATTTGCACATGTTGACTTTTAACAGGGAGACAAAGGGAACATAACTCTTGCTCAAATTGAGACAAACAAAAACTATTTGACTTTGACATAAACTTTATCATATCATATTTTATTTATACTTCATCAATTTTTATTGATTGATTGATTTATTTATTTGTAGAATATATTCATATGCAACTACATTTTCTGTGATACCTGTTGGTCACCTGTCAATGCCAGGGCCTATGAATATTACATATCCAGATACTCTGGGTGAGAATGAAGACAACAGAACTGTACTAGCTCACTGGAATACAGGTTTGTCTATTGAATTTTATATCATGGTGTAGCTATTTCCACCTAACACAGTAGACATATTTATCAATTAGTTTTACCTTCATGTGAAGTGCATATACATATTCTCATAGTTAAATGATGTTTTTGAATTTTTAGCTATTCAGCAGTGGGAATTAAGTGGTAGAACCTGTGGTGATGCATCTGTTCTAGATATTGATAATGATGATGGCACAAAGACTGTTCAGGTATTTTTTTGTGTTGAACAATTAAACACATCGACCTTTAGATGTCTTTTTGTTTGTTGAGTTCTTGTCTAATTGACATATACCTAACATCTCCTTTTATTCAGGTGGCCGAGTGGTCAAAGTAGTTAATCTACTGTATTACAAGCATGTCAACGCTGAGCTTGTGAGTTAGAACCAAATCTTAATTGACTAGGATTACCCTTTTTCCTGATGCAGGTCAGTGGTTCTCTCTGGGAATTCAGTCTTCCTCCACCAATAAAAAACTGGCTGCCATGAAATTCTGTCTTCCTCCACCAATAAAAAACTGGCCGCCATGAAATAGCCAATAGTGCTGAAAGTAGCATTAAACACCAAATAATCAATCAATCCTTTTATGCTGATTGAAATAAACAATTTTAATAGGTAATTGAGAAATATCGTGAAGTATTGATCAAATTTGACAATAATACAAGAAAGAAAGAAAGATGTATAAGAAAATAAGATAAAAAAAAAAAAAAAAACACAAATTTTGTTAAGGTAAATTTTCCTGAGGGAGTCACAACAAGGTTGTAATACAATTACATAATTTATGAACTGAAAATTTCCAATTCCCAGCAGCAGTCCACATCCTAGATATGCCATATGTCTGTAAAGAAAATTTGACAATTCCAAAGCTGAATGATTTTACTGTACTTAAAACAAGAAAAGCTGTATTACAAATTAAAAAAAAATTTTTTTGGACAAGAAAAAAATGTTCTTTTATGTTTAAATTCTTGGAAGAGGTAAATACATATTTAAATCATGAGTATAATTGTTCTTTAGTTTTACATATGAATAAATGATTTGTCATAATTTTATTATGAATATTTTGAATGTGAATAATTTTTTAACAAATATATTATCAAGGTTTGCAAAACATGGAGAGGTGAAACAGAAGCAAGCAATGAGACTGAGGAATCCATTTTGTATTTCTCTGAAGAGACACAATTTGCTGTTTTCATTGTATCAAACAAAGTATACAATTCTGCACCAACATTGATCAGTAATAGATTTATATCTATCACAGAAGATCAAGGTATGACATAAAAAAACTGGTATACTGTGGATTCATTTATTAACTCACCTGGCGGAAAGTCCTAGTGAGCTTTTCTCATCACTTGGCATCCGTCGTCGTCGTTAATTTTTTACAAAAATTATCTCTTGTATTACTGGGCCAAATTAAACCAGACTTGGCAAAAATCATCATTAGGGTATTTAGTTTTTAAAATGTGTCCGATGACCCTGCCGGCAAACCAACATGGCCGATATGGCTAAAAATAGAACATACTGGTAAATTACAAGTTTTGTCTTTTATTTTGAAAACCTCTATGAATAGAGAAAATCTGACTGGACAGAAATGTTCAGAATGGTGAGATCTATCTGCTGCCTATTTACGTAAAAATAACTGTACGACGACATTTTAGAAGAGTCAGTGCCCTTAAATGGCAAATTTTATGATATTTTTTTCATTTTTATACAACCGCAAAATTTTTGCATTCCTATAATGTTATCATGTTGTCAGCATCGTCATCGTTGTTGTCCGAAGACATTTGGGTTCCAGACAATAACTTGTGTATAAGTGTATGGATCTCTATGAAATTGTACCACAAGGTTCCTTACAACAAAAGGAAGGTTGGGATTGATTTTGGGGTTTATGGTCCTATTTGTTTAGGAATTAGGGGCTAAAAACAAGAATTTTTCTTGTTTTACGACAATAACTTGTGTATAAGTGTATGGATCTCTATGAAATTGTACCACAAGGTTCCATACCACAAAAAGAAGGTTGGGATTGATTTGGGGGGTTATGGCCCTAACAGTTTAGGGAAAAGGGGCCAAAAACAATACTTTTCTAATACTTTATATAAATTGCTTATATCTTGACCAATTTCAATGGGGTTTGAAGTCCCGAATTCTTGGGGTTCTTAGATATGCCGAATCTAACCGTGTATTTAGATTTTGGATATTGGACCATAATAGGTAAAAGTCCAGTTTCAAATTTTTCAGTTCTCTGACCACATTCATTGTGTGTCAGAAACCTATGCTGTGTCAAATATTTATTTAATGGCAATCCAAATTCAGAGCTGTATCAAGCTTGAATGTAGTGTCCATACTTGCAATAACTATTCAGGGTTCATCCTCTGAGGCCGTTTCAAGCTGTGCCCTGTGGAGCATTTTATTGCTGATTATTTTGAAAACTGTAATAACGGAAACAAGATCTACAAATAGGTCAACATGACTGAAATTGTCAGTCAACTCCTTATTGAAATCATTACCCTATAAAGATGATTTTTCCCATTTTAGCATTTTGCCTATTATCTTGAAAATTATAATAGATAGATAGAAACTATGAATAGCAAAAATGATCAGCAAGACGGGATCTACAAATAAGCCACATAGATGAAATCTTCAGTTGACTCGTTATTGGAATTATTGCCCTTTGAAGATGATTTTTACCAATTTTTTTAGGTTTTGCTTATTATCTTGAAAATATGGTACTGAATAAGTAGTGAAGCACTGGCTACTGAGCTGATGATGCTCTCAGGGACTAGCAGTTCAGCAGGAGTGATATCAACCTAGTTCTAGTAAATAGAAATAACACTTTATAGATTTTGTGTGTCCGAAGCACTTTTCTAGATTTACCTTCATCAGAAACAAAGGCCTTTGCTATTACAATGGATAAATACTTTTAAGATCAAGACCTGTTTCATAACAGGGGGAAATATTTATTCAACTGATGGAGCAACAATTTCAATTTTTTTATGCCCCACCTGCGATAGTAGTAGGGGCATTATGTTTTCTGGTCTGTGCGTCCTTTCGCCTGTCCGTCTGTCCCGCTTCAGGTTAAAGTTTTTGGTCAAGGTAGTTTTTGATAAGTTAAATTCCAATGAACTTGACACTTAGTACACATGTTCCCTAGGATATGATCTTTCTAATTTTAATGCCAAATTAGAGTTTTGACCCCAATTTCATGGTCCACTGAACATAGAAAATGATAGTGCGAGTGGGGCATCCATGTACTATGGACACATTCTTGTTTATAAATACATGTATTAACTGGGATACTATGGAAGGCTCCTCAATATTTCTTCTGATATATCAAGGTGAACAAAACTAGGTCAAATGATGAATGGTTTATCCCAAATAAAAAGACTATGTATTGAGCTGATCTGTTGAAGACATGGCTTATTCAGAATTGGTTTAATTTAGGTACAGTACAGTACCAGTTAGAGGCAGCAGACGAAGAAGATGATACAGTGAGATTTTACCTTGCAACAAAACAGACATACCGATACAAACTTGGTGCTCCAGTTCTGTATGAGAATGGCTTGTAAGTCAGAGCTACCATTCTTTATATATGAAGCAAAGTTATTTTTCTGCTTTAATTTAAATTTAAATTGCTTTGCTTATGATATCATAAGAGTGCACACACACTCAATGTATCAACTGATTGTCAGAAAAAAAAATTATTTCATGGATTTTCAGGGTCAGTATGATACCTATGCAAACCTACGCCTTTGCCCAATGCATCATATAAAGTCAAAAGGTCTCCTCTATAACAGATAAGATAACAATAATCTATTTGGGGTTTTTTACTGTTATAATAAACATTTTCTGATTTTTGTTTAGATTGATGTATACTCCATGTAAAGATTGTTCAGGAGTAGAGACCATTGATATCATCCTCAGAGAGATACTAGCCAGTAAGGATATTACACCAGCCAGCAGGGCGGCAACACTTGTTATTACAATTATAGATACCAATGACCCACCAGATATGTTCCTTGTACAGAATGGTCAGTCTATTTTGTTAGATGATCCAACAGAGCCAGTTATGGTATGAAATTTTAGAAATAATATATATAAAAAGAGGAAATCTACCAATTTTTATGAATACAACTATAAAGGTTAAAGTTATTAACTGATTAATTTATAAATTTTAAACATGTTGCTGTCTTTCTGAAACTTTCAGGCCATTACTTACAAATCCATGATGAAAATATTGTTCAGATTTCATTATAAATGTAAGACTTAATTACAGACCTCAAATAACATAGACAGACAGCTTGAGTATGAAGCACATACTAATCTTACAATGGTGTTAATTGAGGGGGTAGGAGGGGGTGTCATTACAAATTCCTCGAAAAATAAACACAGAATCCCGAAAATATAAAGCTTTCTTTTCCAGATGCCGAAAAAATTAATCAATAATTCCAGAGTCCTGATAAGTGTAAATATTGAATTGCCACAAAAATATAGACCCAATTACGAGTCCTGAAAAAGGTCCTTCCACCTCTCTTTTTTTCTGCATTAAATATAGTTGGTACTTCAATACTTACTTTTTAGCTCACCTGGCCCAAAGGGACAAGTGAGCTTTTCTCATCACTTGGTGTCCGTCGTCCGTCGTCGTCGTTAACTTCTTACATTTTGAACTTCTTCTAAAGAACCACTGAATGGAATGAAACCAAACATGGCATGAATGTTCCTTATGAGGTGCTGACCAAGTGTTGTTACTTTGTAGCTGATCCATCATCCAAGATGGCCGCAAGCGGGGGACTTAGTTTAACATAGGACCCTATGGGAAATACATACAAATGTCTTCTTTTAGAGAACCAGTGAATGGAATGAAACCAAACATGGCATGGCTGTTCCTTATGAGATGCTGACCAAGTGTTGTTACTTTGCAGTCGGTCAATCATCCAAGATGGCCGCCAGTGGGGGACTTAGTTTAACATGAGGACCCTATGGGAAATACATACAAATGTCTTCTTTTAGAGAACCAGTGAATGGAATGAAACCAAACATGGCATGAATGTTCCTTATGAGGTGCTGACCAAGTGTTGTTACTTTATAGCCGATCCATCGTCCAAGATGGCCACCAGTGGGTGACTTAGTTTAACATAGGACCCTACGGGAAATACATACAAATGTCTTCTTTTAGAGAACCAGTGAATGGAATAAAACCAAACATGGCATGAATGTTCCTTATGAGGTGCTGACCAAGTGTTGTTACTTTGCAGTCAATCCATCATCCAAGATGGCCGCCAGAGGGGGACTTAGTTTAACATAGGACCATATGGGAAATACATACAAATGTCTTCTTTTAGAGAACCACTAAATGGAATGAAACCAAACATGGCATGAATGTTCCTTATGAGGTGCTGACCAAGTGTTGTTACTTTGCAGTCGGTCCATCATCCAAGATGGCCGACAGCAGGGGACTTAGTTTAATATAGGACCCTATGGGAAATACATACAAATGTCTTCTTTTAGAAAACCACTAAATGGAATGGAACCAAACATAGCATGAATGTTCCTTATGAGGTGCTGACCAAGTGTTGTTACTTTGCAGCCGATCCATCATCCAAGATGGCCGTCAGGGGGGGGGGGGGGGACTTAGTTTAACATAGGACCCTATGGGAAATACATACAAATGTCTTCTCTTAGAGTAACACTGAATGGAATGAGACCAAACATGGCATGAATGTTCCTTATGAGGTGCTGACCAAGTGTTGCTTCTTTGTTGCCGATTTACTGTTCAAGACGGCCACCAGGATATTTTATTAAATAACGGGACCAATATTAAACCAAATTTGGCCTCAATCATTATTTGGGTATCTGTTATGATTTTTATCTATCTTTACATGATTTCTAAAACCAAAGTAGAGTCAGGTGAGCGACATAGGCTCTTGAGAGCCTCTAGTTATTGTGTGTACATCCATGGAGATTGGTTATGATTTTTTTTTTTTTTTTGTATAATCTTCATATATCAGTTACACTTTACAGTTTTAAATGATATTTCACCATTGTAATCCTCTTAAACCTTCTGTAAGAGCAGTTTTCCCTTGTTAAATATCTGTACAATGTTAGAAATGTGACAGCCATTATCAATCCAGATATTCCCCTTGGTTTGAAATAAAATAAACTTAACAACATTGTTGGAATAATTGTTTTAAAACTTGCAATATAAATATAATTCAGGTATATTTGGAACAGAAGACTGAATATAACAGAAACAAATGGATGGAAGATTTCAGAGCTGTTATAGGAGCCTTTGACGTGGAACAACAACATCTTATTATGGAAGTATACAAACCAATGTCGGGAACAGTTATGTTTACAGAAGTGAAAACAACAGTACCAGATATGTATGACTGTGAAACTGATGTAAATGTAAGTAGATATTGCTTACTGCTGTAAATTCAGAAATTATTGCGATATTTTTATTATTGCGAAAAATGCCACAGGGTTATAATCGCAATAATTTAAAACTCGCATTTTGAAATTTTTTATATGAGTTAAACAGGATTGTTCTCCATATCACAAAAATTAAAATCTCATTTTAGTCTAAAATGACAAAATTGCAATAATAAATGCACGCAATAATTTCTGAATTTACAGTAGAAGGTAATATGTTTCAACAAAAATTTCAGTTTAATTGAAATTTGAAAATAGCTAACAAAATAAATTAGGAACTGTAAGCAATATTGCTTAGATAAAATAGTAAAATGCAGGTATCTCAGGACCATAGATTATAAATAGGTTTGTCTAAGGTGCTTTTTTAGTTGCAACACCTGACCATTTATCCAGATAAAATTAAGATAGACCACTTACAAGAAAATTTCTGAATGTGCTTATGAAGAGGTATTATCCTTTTACAATACCAATATCAAAAACTCTTTTTCACAGTTGCAGCTTGAAATCACTTCTTTAAGCTTATTTGAAATGATCAGAACTTAGTCCATTGTTTGAGAAATGATGTTATTATAAAATGGGTGCAGTGTAGTAAAAATATTCTTTCCATCATAATATAATAAAAATTTGGACAAATCTTATCTAACAGGCACATTTATGTAAAAAAAAAACATAGCAGCCTCCCACAGGATCACTGACCTATATTTTACGCTTCATTGACCAGTTAAGTTTTATGTTAGTAAATATGATGCAATAATATGTGAAATACATGTCATCAAAGTTAATTAAACGAATAAAGCTGTTTTAAAGATCCTTTAAAAATGAGAACAGCTTTTTAAATCACTTTGAAGATATGGTATGTATTACTGACATAGTAACATCTAATAAACTAATTGAACTCATGATAAAGGAACCATGTCCTGGAATAATTATTAAATTAACCAATCGAATACAATATATGATCCAGGATTTATTTTTGCAGGCAGCCAGTGAACCATGTGGTAATTTTAGTTATACTCTGCCTCATGATAAAGGAACCATGTCCTGGATTTATACCACCTTGACCTACAAACAAAGCATAAATGTAACAGGAAAGGACTACATCAAATTTTATGTCTCTGATTCCATGAATGCCTCATCATCAGTAGTGACTGTACAGTTTGTTTTAATGGAATCACCATGTCACAATGATGGGTTTTGTCAACGTAAGTTTTAACTAAGAACTATTATTTCAATGACAACTAATTTTAGTAGAGAAATTAAATTTTTATGAATGATTCATTTAGTATCTCCAAACTTTTTGTTTTATGTAGCATACAGTTATTTTCCAAAGATATTCAAGCATGGTGGTTAATTAATAAAATTACAAATTGTAATCAATATTTTCCAATTTTTATTTTTTAAAGCCAGTTAGAGTTATCTCCCTGATTGGCAAATATGTCAAACCTTTTATAAAATATAAATACTTATGTACTTATTATTTTATTTTCCTAGCTTACAATTTTTATTATTTGTATTTTATCCACAAAACTTTTATACCTTGACTTGGAAAGAAAATGTAGAAAAATGACCTTATAGACACTATGTATTACTTTTTTCTTTCAGCCAAAAATGGCAGTAACTATCCTTGCACCAGCTGGTACAGAGCTAACAATTTTGATCAGTATTTTGAATGTGTATGTTTACCTGGCTGGATAGGTGTATACTGTGAAGAAAATATTGATGAATGTATAAGTTCCCCATGTATGGAACCATTTGAATGTGTTGATGGTGTCAATAAGTATGAATGCAGATGTCCAGTAGATGACCCTAACTGTGATCTTAAGATCTGGATTATTCCAGTGATTGTCCTGAGTGTCGTTTGTTTGGTGATAATCATCATAGTGGTCATTTGTAGATATTGGAAGAAAAGGTGATTGTTAGACTGTTGTTTTTTCAATTTTTACCTAATAATAAGATTATGAAGATGTAATCTGAATGAAAATAGATGTGATAATTATGTCATGATGCAGTTAATCAAACCACAAGTAAGATATCTGGAGATCAACACAGATTCTTAAACAATAGACAAGTTTCTTTACCATTTAAAGTCTGATATTGCACTAAGGTGGATAAATGATCAATTTAAACAGAGAAGGGCCTTTTCCATGAAGTCACAACTACATTTATTGTGACTTAATTTATCTTTAACTACCAGTTTTTGACTTTTTATTACTGCAATTTTAGTATAAAAATAATTGTAAATCTTGATTTAAAATTTCAGTGAAAAATTAAACCAAAATTAATATATGGTCCTACGTTTTTGACAAAATGACCTGTAATTTAATTCCTTTCAATACCAGTTCTTGCTTTGGGCCACACCCCAAAAGAACATAGATGTGTAAGAAATGCTTTGGGCCACACCCCAAAAGACCATAGATGTGTAAGAAATGCTTTGGCCACACCTCAAAGAACTTGGATGTTTAAGAATGCTTTGGCACACCCCAAAAGAATATAGATATGTAAGAAATGCTTTGGGCCACACCCCAAAAGAACATAGATGTGTAAGAAATGCTTTGGGCCACACCCCAAAAGACCATAGATGTGTAAGAAATGCTTTGGGCCACACCCCAAAAGAACATAGATGTGTAAGAAATGCTTTGGCCACACCTCAAAAGACCATAGATGTGTAAGAAATGCTTTGGCCACACCTCAAAGAACTTGGATGTTTAAGAATGCTTTGGGCCACACCCCAAAAGAATATAGATATGTAAGAAATGCTTTGGGCCACACCCCAAAAGAACATAGATGTGTAAGAAATGCTTTGGATCACACCCCCAAAAGACCATAGATGTGTAAGAAAAAACAGACATAAGTGCAATATAGATGTTTGTGCAAAATGATAACAATGAAAATTTAAGGTATGTACAAATTCCTATAAGTTCAAGGTTAGTATAAAAGAAATGAGAAAAGGTCAAATTTCAAGAATAATATATTATCTTTTTATTTTTCAGAGTGAAAAACAAAAAAGCTTATAGAGACCTTCTGAACCAGGTAAATATACTTATAGATTATCGTTGGTCATCTCAACGAGATTGATTTTCTCGCTTGAGCCGTTATGGCGAAAGTGAGAAAAGCAATCGAGTTGAGATGACGAATGATAATCTGTTTATCGCTATTTTGCCTATGACGACGTTGATGTTGACATTGACAACAGCACGTGCGCTTAGTTTCTAGTGATAATTTTTCATATCACTCTACTCCGTTGAGAAAGGTAATTATCAGTCCGTAAGATCAAAGGAAAATTTCGTAAAATAGCGATACTTCTTAATATTTGACACAGTGACACAAATTGTATATACTTTGGTGAATGGCATGCAGGTTGATTTTACAGAGTTTTCATTGAATGTTCTTTTTTTGCAAACTGTACAATGCATAAAAAGTCATATCAGAATTCACTAAAGAAATTTTTATCAAAGATTGTACTTTATGGACTATGTTAAATTTTGTATATATTTTAGTTAAAAAAAAACATATGATAAAGATTTATGAAATAAGTAGCAGCTAAAAATCAACAAGATTTGTTTCATCTAAAATAAGAAATTCTTCTGAAATCAACCTTGCTACTTTCAACAGGGAATGAAAACAACCCTGAAGTTTCAACTTGATTATAAATTATTTCTGAATTCTGAGAATTAGTATATGGTGTTTCTTTGTCTATCAAATGATAGTAAACCATTATAAATTATTTATGAATTCAGAATTAGGATATGTTGTTTCTTTGTCTATCAAGTTATAGTAAACCATTATATATTTTTATTTCATACTGATAAAAGTGTTTTAATATGATTGAAAAATGTTTAACCATTAATAAAGGGGAACAGATTTGAATTATATGCACAATTAATGTTTTGAATATAAAAATAAGGAGATGTGGTATGATTGCCAATGAGACAACTAGCCACCCAAGTTTAAATGATGTGGATGTAAGCAATTATAGGCAACAGTACAGCATTCAACAATGAGAAAAAACTCATAACGTATAGTCGGCTATAAAAAGGCTCGACATGAAAAATATGAAACAATTCAATTGAAAAAACTAACGGCCTAATTTATAACAAAACAATTTATGTAAAACAAATATGACAGACATGAACCAACGACAACCACTACAGGCTCCTGACTTGGAACAGGCACATAAAGAATGTGCTGGGGTTAAATGTGTGTGAGTGCACAACCCTCCCCTAACCCAGAAAAGTGGTGTTACAGCACAACATAAGAACATACTGTAAAAATCAGTTGAAAATGGCTTAACTCATTTAAGATCGATACAAAGCTGAATAAAATGCTTCGCTGGGGCGCAGCTTGATACGACCGCAGAGGTCGAACCCTGAACAGTTGGGGCAAGTATGGACACAACATTCAAGCTTGATACAGCTCTGAATTTGGATTGTTATTAAATATTTGACACAGCATAGGTTTCTGACACAGAAAGAATGTGGTCTAAGAACTTGAATTTTTTTAATTTACCTATTATGGTCCAATGTCCAAAATCAAAATACATGGTTAGATTCAGCATATCAAAGAACCCCATATATTCAATTTTTGTTAAAATCAAACAAAGTTTAATTTTGGACCCCAACTTGGACAAACTTGAAAACTGGGCCCATAATCAAAAATCTAAACACATGTTTAGATTCAGCATATCAAAGAACCCCATATATTCATTTTTTGTTGAAATCAAACAAAGTTTAAATACTGGACCCTATCTTGGACCAACTTGAAAACTGGGCCCATAATCAAAAATCTAAACACATGTTTAGATTCAGCATATCAAAGAACCCCAAGAATTCAATTTTTGTTAAAATCAAACTAAGTTTAATTTTGGACCCTTTGGACCTTAATGTAGACCAATTTAAAAAACAGGACCCAAAATTAAAAATCTAAATACACAGTTAGATTTGGAATATCAAAGAACCCCAATAATTCAATTTTAGATGAAATCAAACAAAGTTTAATTTTGGACCCTTTGGACCCTAATGTAGACCAATTTAAAAAACGGGACTTAAAATTAAAAATCTAAATACACGGTTAGATTTGGAATATCAAAGAACCCTAATAATTCAATTTTTGATGAAATCAAACAAAGTTTAATTTTGGACCCTTTTGACCTCAATATGAACCAATTTGATAGCGGGGCCCACAAATAAAAAATCTAAATTCATGGTTAGATTCAGCATATCAAAGAACCCCTTATATTCAATTTTTGTTGAAATCAAAAAAAGTTTAATTTTGGACCCCAACTTGGACCAACTTGAAAACTGGGCCCATAATCAAAAATCTAAACACATGTTTAGATTCAGCATATCAAAGAACCCCAAGAATTCAATTTTTGTTAAAATCAAACTAAGTTTAATTTTGGACCCTTTGGACCTCAATGAAGACCAATTTAAAAAACGGGACCCATATTAAAAATCTAAAAACACGGTTAGATATGGCATATCAAAGAACCCCAATAATTCAATTTTTGATGATATCAAACAAAAGTTTAATTTTGGACCCTTTTGACCTCAATATGAACCAATTTGATAGCGGGGCCCACAAATAAAAAATCTAAATACATGGTTAGATTCAGCATATCAAAGAACCTCGTATATTCAATTTTTGTTGAAATCAAACAAAGTTTAATTTTGGACCCCAATTTGGACCAACTTGAAAACTGGGCCCATAATCAAAAATCTAAACACATGTTTAGATTCAGCATATCAAAGAACCCCATATATTCATTTTTTGTTGAAATCAAACAAAGTTTAAATACTGGACCCTATCTTGGACCAACTTGAAAACTGGGCCCATAATCAAAAATCTAAACACATGTTAAGATTCAGCATATCAAAGAACCCCAAGAATTCATTTTTTGTTAAAATCAAACTAAGTTTAATTTTGGACCCTTTGGACCTTAATGTAGACCAATTTAAAAAACAGGACCCAAAATTAAAAATCTAAATACACAGTTAGATTTGGAATATCAAAGAACCCCAATAATTCAATTTTAGATGAAATCAAACAAAGTTTAATTTTGGACCCTTTTGACCTCAATATGAACCAATTTGATAACTGGGTCCACAAATAAAAAATCTAAATACATGGTTAGATTCAGCATATCAAAGAACCCCATATATTCAATTTTTGTTGAAATCAAACAAAGTTTAATTTTGGACCCCAATTTGGACCAACTTGAAAACTGGGCCAAAAATCAAAAATCTAAATACATGTTTAGATTCAGCATATCAAAGAACCTCATATATTCAATTTTTGCTAAAATCAAACAAAGTTTAATTTTGGACCCTTTGGACCTTAATGTAGACCAATTTGAAAACTGGATCCAAAATTAAAAATCTAAATACACTGTTAGATTCGGCATAACAAATAAATAAATGTGATCAAAGATTTTACAAATCTAATGCGCCATTCTGTGCAATTAAAGATTACTTCTTGAAATTTTTCAATATTTGAAATTTGAAAAAAAAAAATAATTCTTTTTAATTTCTGAAATCTGAAATGAGAAAAAATTGACCCCCCACAATTTCTTTTTATCCCCCCCCCCCCCTCCTTTTTTTCCCCCAAAAAATTCTTTCCCTCAAGATATGGTCATAATCTCAATTCAAATTTCCAATGGAGTTGGCAACCATAATTACCCATTTAAATTTACCATAGTGCTAACTTAATCTATTTTATAATAGAATATAGTGTCAAATCTTTCATATGGATTTTTTTGTAAAAAAAAAAGATGCAACATTTGCAGATATTTTTACTGGTCTTCCTTTATAAATATGCATTTCTTTAAACATAATTTAAAAGCAGTGTAAGGGAAGTAACCAAAACGTTGTATTTGGATTACCTCCCTTACACTGTTTTAAATTATCTTTATTGTTCATTAACCATTACTTTATACATAATTTAAAAGCAGTGTAAGGGAGATAATTTCAATGATGTATTTGATTTATCTCCCTTACACTGCTTTAAATTATGTTTTGTACTAAAGTATTTGTCCATTAACCAGGACAACCTTGTTTTTCCCCCTTTTTTGCCCCTAATTCCTAAACGGTTTGAGCCATAACCCCCCAAAGCAAATCCTAACCATCCCTTTGTGGTATGGAAACTTGTAGTATAATTTCAGAGAGATCCATACACCGTTCCACAGTTATTGTCTGGAAACTAGAAAATGCTTATTTTTGGCCCCTTTTTGGCCCCTAATTCCTTAACTGTTGGTACCATAACCCCCAAAATCAATCCCCACCTTCCTTTTGTGGTATTTAACCTTATGGTCAAATTTCAAAAAGATCCATTCACTTAAACTAAAGTAAGAGTGCGAAAACCAATGTGTCTTCGGACGACGACGCCGGACGATGACGACGACGCCAACGTCATACCAATATACGACCACAAAATTTTTTTGCGGTCGTATAAAAACTTCTAACAAAAACACAGACCGGACATGGCTGGGTATTTATGAACCCAATTCAACTGCTTACTGAGCATGGACATTTGAAAGATCAATGAGGGCATGGTGGACACATATTCTTGTTAAAACAATAGAATTAATACATATTTGACTCCCTGTAAGATCATTGGTTAACATTTCAGTTCATGTTGTGAAAACCTCAACAACTACAGATGAAGAGATACGTCTTAATCACACTAAACTGGCATTCCTTAGTTTGGGCTGATATCTCTAAATACATGTGAATAAGCTGTCATTTATTTATATAGAATTCTGTATCTGGACCATAACTGGCCAATTAATTATTTAAGCTGACCTAATTATGACTTGAGAAACACTGTTCATCTTGTTAGTTTCTTTCAGGGGCCTTGGTGGCCAAGTGGTCTAAGTAGTCAACTACTGTATCACTAGCCTGTCAGCACTGAGGTTGTGAGTTCAAATCCCTCAGGTGCACTCAACTCCAATCTAAATTGACTAGGATTGTCAGTTTTCCTACCCTAGGTTGGTGGTTCTCTCTGAGTTTTCCGGTTTCCTCCACCAATAAAAACGGACCGCCACGAAATAGCACAAGAGTGTTGAAAGTGGCGTTAAACACCAATCTATCAAGCAATGTTATTTTTCTTTCAGGATTAAATGACTTTTTAAAGATTTTTTATACTCCACGCAGCAAAGTTGCAAAGGATATAATGTTTTTGACTCATTCTTCAGTCCGTCCATCCATCCGTCTATCTTTCAGTCCTTCAGTCCTGTTCTTGTCATCACAACTCCTCTGAAACCACACAACAGAATTTCATGAAATTTTGTAGATAATGAGGACATACTTTGTAAATGTGTATATTGACAGGAAATTATGATTTATTTTTTTCTAGGAGTTATGCCCCTTTGAACTTAGCATTTTGGCCTAAGTATACTACTGCAACAGTTTGTCATCACAACTTTTCTGAAACCACACAACTTAATTTCATGAATCTTTGTAGTTAATGAGGACATAATATGTAGATGTGCATATCCACAAGAAATTTTTATCAGTTATTTTTTTTTAAGAGTTGTGAGTCTTTGAACTAAGAAATCTGGTGAGATTTTGTTTGCTCAATGACAATGTGGGGGTGTGGTGTATGTGAGCATGCTCACAAAGGTTCTTTAATTTTTTCAAAAGTTTTGAATATTTTACTGCCATTTTGATTATGGTTCAGATATCTTGAACTAAGAGCAAATAATTGGTTGATTAATTACTGTAAATTCAGAAATTATTGCGTGCATTTATTATTGCGATTTTTAAATAAAATTGAGAATGGAAATGGGGAATGTGTCAAAGAGACAACAACCCGACCATAGAGCAGACAACAGCCGAAGGTAACCAATGGGTCTTCAATGCAGCGAGAAACTCCCGCACCCGGAGGCGTCCTTCAGCTGGCCCCTAAACAAATATGTATACTAGTTCAGTGATAATGGACGTCATACTAAACTCCAAATTATACACAAGAAACTAAAATTAAAAATGATACAAGACTAACAAAGGCCAGAGGCTCCTGACTTGGGACAGGCGCAAAAATGCGGCGGGGTTAAACATGTTTTTTGAGATCTCAACCCTCCCCCTATACCTCTAGCTAATGTAGAAAAAACAAACGTACAACAGTACGCACAGTAAAACTCAGTTTAAGAGAAGTCCGAGTCCGATGTCAGAATAGGAAACAAAAGAAAATAAACAAAATGACAATAATACATAAATAACAACAGACTACTAGCAGTTACTGACATGCCAGCTCCAGACCTCATTTAAACTGATTGAAAGATTATGTCTTCATCATAAAGAATGGACTAAAATGCAAGATTTATTATTGCGATTTCAGGAAAATCTGCATACAGATTTTTGTATCAGATATCAGAATGTGAGTTCTTATTATTGCGATGATCACCAAGTCGCATTATTCGCATTAATAAAAACCTCGCAATAATTTCTGAATTTACAGTAGCAGCCTATGGTTCTCATGACACATTTGAATTATTAAATATTGGGCATAAATATTTATTTTGACCAGGTAATTGCATGAAATAGATTGACATCTCTGATATCAATAAAGATAATATTTATATTCTTTTTTCTATTTGTAGAGTACTAAAGATCTTTTAAGTGATGATTTATCACGGGAATTTTCATTTGCTAAAGATACAGTGGTAAGTAACATAGAAATTTTAACATAAATAATTTAAAAAGTACATTGTATATGTAGCAGAGGGACATTAAGTTTTACCCTTGTCCGTACGTCCAAAAATTGGTTTCCGTTCTCTAACTTGAGTTTGCCTCAACCAAATGTTATGAAACTTATACACAATGCTAATTACCACAAAACACAGATCAAGTTTGAATTTTGACCGTTCAAGAGTTATGCCCCTTTATAAATGGAATAAATTGCTTTGCCTAGCACAGCTGGATATGACCTCAGAGGTCCAACCCTGAACAGTTGGGGCAAAATTGGACACAATATTCGCGTTTGACACAGGTCTGAATTTGGATTGTAATTAAATATTTGACACATAATAGGTTTCTGACACAGAATAACTGTAGTCAAAGAACTTAGAATTGGTTATATGATTTGAATTTATATTCAATTTTTTTGCTTTTGTGCAATACACTTTGTTGTTGCGAATTGACCCGCCCTCCCCCCCCCCCCCCCCCCCCCCCCCCCCCTTTTTTTTGCTTTTGTGCAATACAGTATGCTGTTGCGTCAGTTGACAATGTTTTCTCGGGGTAACAATCTGCTCTATCACCCTCTCAGCTATGTGTTATTTATATAATAGTAACTTCTAAAAATAAATTGACAGCTAATCATCTCAAGACAATACAACATTTCTTAAAACATAATTTAAAAGCAGTGTAAGGGAGGTAATCAAAACGTTGTGTTTGGATTACCTCCCTTACACTGCTTTTAAATTGTCTTAATTGTCCATTAACCAGGAAACCCTTGTTTTTCCCCCTTTCTTGCCCCTAATTCCTAAACAGTTTGAGCCATAACCCCCCCAAAGCAAATCCTAACCATCCCTTTGTGATATGGAAACTTGTGGTATGATTTCAGAGTGATCCATACACCGTTCCACGAGTAATTGTGTGGAAACTTGAAAAATGCTTATTTGGGCCCCTTTTTGGCCCCTAATTCCTAAACTGTTAGGACCATAACCTCCAAAATCAATCCCAACCTTCCTTTTGTGGTTATAAACCTTGTGTTTAAATTTCATAGATTTCTATTTGATTATAGTTATTGTCCGGAGACCAACTGTCTTCGGACGACGACGTGATACCAATATACGACCACAAAATTTTTTGCGGTCGTATAAAAATTGCAAAATTTTAAGTTTCCGTTCTCTAACTTAAGTTTGCCTCAACCAAATGTGATGACACTTATACACAATGCTTATTCCAACCAAATACAGATCAAGTTTGAATTTTAGTGCGGTCACTCTAACCGTTCTAGAGTTATGCCCCTTTATAAATGGAAAAATTACCAAATTTTTAGTTTCCGTTCTCTAACTTAAGTTTGCCTCAACTAAATGTTATGAAACTTATACACAATGCTTATTACCACAAAACACAGACCAAGATTGAATTTTGGTAGCTTCACTCTAACTGTTCTAGAGTTATGTCCCTTTATAAATGGAAAAATTGCAAAATTTTTAGTTTCCGTTCTGTAACTTAAGTTGGCCCCAACCAAACATTATGAAACCTATACACAATACTTATTACCTTAAAACTCAGATCAAGTACAAATTTTGGTAGCGTCACTATTATCGTTCTTGAGTTATGTCCCTTTATAATGTTGCATGCAAGCAGAGGCATCATCTGTGTCCATGGGGACACATTCTCCATTTATTTAAGTTTTTTATTTTTTTTAATATTCATTAAACAAATATACTTGTACTTATTCTGATTGGGTTTTTATTTTCAAATATTCAAGGGAAGTAAATTTTGTGAAAACAATCACAATTGTGATTGATTGATAGTTGCTAAATGTCCAATGGAAAATATTACATGCATATTCAATATAACAAAATATGACCAGCTCTTGGAATTTCCAGTACATGTCAAAATCTAAGACACTTAAGCACATGTACCAGAATACATTTGTATACATGTATTATAGATATTTTAACTTTAAAAGCAACAACAGGTATGTATTATAAGTGCAATTTTGTGAACATTTTTTAAATTAAAAAAATATCTTTTAGATAAAGTTATAGGCTCATATCTAAATTTTGACAACCAGATCACCAAATGAGGTTATTTTTGCATTCTTGAACATAAAAAGCAAGACCTTTGAAGCCTTAATACAAGGAGGGCATACACAATTAAAAAATAGAAATACCGATTTCACACAGACTTGCATCTTGTGAAAACCTGAATGATGTTATAAGATGGATTGTTTATGCTTTTTGATTTTGAAATTCAAGAAGACAAAAAAGTGACATTTTCATATCTTCTCCTTTACCATGTTTACTGAAATTGAATAGAACAACCAGGACTAGAATCAGTACTATTAAATGAAGACTAAAATTTAAAAGTAGATGTAAAAAAGCTCTTAGAGATGCACAAAATAGAATTGTCAAAGATGTCATAATTCAGTTATTGCACATTTTAATTCTCAAGTCATTTTACACTGCCTTAGTACTGTGAAGTATTTATAAAACTGAAAAATATTCTTTTACATACTAAATGACTCGTATTCATCATGATTGTCTGACTTTTTGAATTCATAGTCTAAAAGTTACAATTGCACCCTAATTATCCAATGTTCAAATAGATCAATGGGCATGGAACTGTATGGTACACTGTTATAGCAGTAATATAAGCTGAAATATATGTCCACAAATTAATGTAATATGAGGCATGAACTGTAGTTTTATGATTGTTCTTTTTTCAAGTATTTTAAATCAGTAACTAATTTTTTTTATCTTTCCTATAGCAAGTTGACTTCCAAGAGAGCCATGATGATCTTGCTAATTTGGATCTAGTGGGAATTCTGAATCCTGTTATTGGTAAAACTGCAAATCCAAGATGGAAGAATAAGGTTTACCCTGAATCATCACGTACCAAGAAATTTCTTATTTCTCCTGCAGAACAGAAATCAGAAAGTAAGCTGAAAGAGGAAATTCAAGAGAAAGATGATTTGAAGAATAACTGGACATATTCGTCACCTGTCCATCAAGCTCTCAAACAAGCCATGAAACCTATAGCAAAACCTCATATGAAGTCTTTAAAAGAAATAAAATTAGAAGTGTCATCTGATAACAAGAATACAGAGCCAATATCAAATCCAACAGAGGAAAGAAAGCAAGACACGGAAGTTATTCATCAACAGGCCATGCCATCACATTTTAAACCAATGTATCAAGCACAATTGGCAAAGCCACTTCCAACAACTGGTCTTGTTGCACAAAACATGTCTTACAGTCGATACAATGAAAAACAACAGCTTGAGAAAAGCAGTGATGCTTAACTTGTGTGTACTTGCAATTGCGTTTTACAAATTTTAGAAAACAGATTTTGGTGATATAGTAACTTTTTCACAATATTCAGTTAACCAGTTTATTATTGATAATTTATTGAATTTTTGCTGAAATGCAAATAATTGTATGATCAAATGTTTTATTTCTAAGTATTAAAAATAAAGTCTTTCTTAGCTTTCAAATGTATATATTGTATTATATACTTGACATGAAATATCTTGTGGTTAAGGTAGCTAGGATGTCTTCCTCCATCTTGGATTTTGAAATAGCAGATAACAATTGGTTTAGATCTTTGATGAAATGTGCGAATTTGAAGAGTAATATGTACTTCACTTGTAAGACTTTTCGTGTTGATATAGAAAATTATGTGTTTTTTCATGTTAACGACTACATTTTACAAAAAAAAAACAGAATATTTTTGCTGAATTCATTTTTTTTCAACTTTGCCGCATAAGGGGAGATAACTCAGATATAAGGGGAAATTACTCAGATAAAGCATTTTTGTTGAGCCTGCAACTTTTGTAGTAGAAAGCTCGACATAGGGATAGTGATCCGGCAGCGGTGGCGTTAACTAACTTCTACAAAGCTTTATATTTTAGAAGGTGGAAGTCCTGGATGCTTCATACTTTGTATATATATGCCTTTTGTTACAAAGTTTCCGTCTGTCACATGTCCATTGTCCTTGACCTCATTTTCATGGTTAAGTGACTACTTGAAAAAAAAGTAAAGATTTTTTGTAATGTTAATTTCTCTCTTATTATGAGTAATAGGATAACTATATTTTGTATGTGCGTACCTTGCAAGGTCCTCATGCCCGTCAGACAGTTTTCACATGACCTCAACCTCATTTCATGGATCAGTGAACAAGGTTAAGTTTTGGTGGTCAAGTCCCTATCTCGGATACTATAAGCAATAGGTCTAGTATATTTGGTGTATGGAAGGATTGTAAGGTGTACATGTCCAACTGGCAGGTGTCATCTGACCTTGACCTCATTTTTATGGTTCAGTGGTTATAGTTAAGTTTTTGTGTTTTGGTCTGTTTTTCTTACACTGTATGCAATAGGTCTACTATATTTGGTGTTTGGAATGATTGTAAGGTGTACATGTCCAACTGGCAGGTGTCATCTGACCTTTACCTCATTTTCATGGTTCAGTGGTCAAAGTTAAGTTTTTGAGTTTTGGGCTTTTTTTTCTAATACTATATGCAATAGGTTAACTATATTTGGTGTATGAAAATATTTTATGATGTGCATGTCAGTCTCGCAGGTTTTATTTGACCTTGACCTCATTTTCACGGTTCATTGCTCAGTGTTAAGTTTTTGTGTTTTGTTCTTTTTTCTTAAACTATAAGCAATAGGTCAACTATATTTGTTGTATGGAAGGATTGTAAGCTGTGTATGTCTGTCTGGCAGGTATCATCTGACCTTGACCTCATTTTGGTGGTTCATTGGTCAATGTTAAGTTTTCATGGTTAAGTTTGTTTCTTTGATTCTATAAGCAAAAGGTCAACTATATTTAATACATAGATTATATGTAAGGTGTACATGTCTGCCTGGCATGATTCATCTGACCTTGACCTCATTTTCATGGTTCATTGGTCAATGTTTAGTTTTCTTTGTTAAGTCTGTATCTTCGAAACTTTGGCAAATAGCTATAGGTCAACTATATTTGGTGTATTGAATGATTGTCAGGTGTACATGTATTTCTCGTTTGCTTTATCTGACTTTAACCTCATTTTCTTGAATCATGTTAAGTTTATGTGATAGTTGTAGTAAAGCTTTATATTTAGGACTATCAACATAATATCAATGGTTAGTATAGAAGGCGAGACATTTCAGCGTGTGCACTCTTGTTTATAATTATAGAATGTGTTGTGAATTTTCCTATTTTAATAAGTAGCAAGAAAACGAGTCTGGTGACCCCAATATTTCTTTTTCTTATCTGAAAGCATATTATGAGAGCTCTCTTCTCATATTTTGTCTTAAAATTCTATGGTCTAGTTTTCTTTTTATCACACGAAATCTGGTTTTCCATTCATAATCTCTACAAAATCTGACAATTTTGCACAACCTGTAGCGTGAAAAGATGCCCGGTGACCAATATTTTTTATTATATTTTTCAAAAAAGCATGGTATAAACTACATTTTGACAAATTATCAAAAAATTCTATGGATTTTAATTTAGACCTCCTTCCGCCCCAATCTACCTCAAATGCAATTTGAATGGAATTATTACCTTACATCAACTACTTTCCATTCTGCATTTTCAAGTACATTTTTGTTTAGACTGTGATTATTTTATAGACAGGTTGTTCCTTTAATGGCAATTACAACACTGAAATTCTGTTGTCTGATTGTAACTTTCAGAATAAGTTCATTCAAAATGTTATGTGCCCAATGCTGTAACTAATCTAATTGATCTTAACTGTATCTCCATGTTTTGCTGTTGCTATTGACTTCACTGTTAGTGTTTCTCTCTACCTATAGCAGTTGCTGTAAAAGTACTTTTGTTGAATGTACTTATTTTCACGAAGTAGATATTGCCACTATATTCATGTGAATTTAATTCAAAAATAATATTAAAAAAAACTATATACCGTATAAATAAGGGTCTTTTTATGTCCCTGCATTAAGATTTGGAGGGGCATATTAATTTACCCCTGTCTTTCCGTTCATCCGGATATAGATACAGATGCATGATATGTCCGGCTATCTCCTTCTACAGTTTTGAGTGACAGCTTTAATATTTTGTTGGATGTTTCTACACATAATATCCACAGGATTTTGATATTTTCAAATATTCTCAAAATGCCAGGTATTTGAACTTAGTCATTTTTAAAGTAGTAGCTGTATTAAGTGATCATGGTTTTTCCAGCTATCTCCTCCAACAATTTTTGAGCTAAAGCTTTAATATTATGTAGGTAACGTTTTAAAAATAGGAAAATAAACAGTCATTCAAAAATTATGACAAAACTGAATTTTGTTAATCGAATCCAACTGCACAACATGTCAGAAATTTAAACACCATTTAGTATATCAACATCTACTTAATATGCTCTAATTATCTAAAATGTTTTAGTATTTGAAATGAAATAGGTAAAATTATTTTCGTTTCAAGATTTTTTTGGTATACGGATAAAAATAAGTGATACCAGTACAGTAAGAATTTTTTTTAGTTGACTTTAGTATGAGTTATGAGTCTTTAAAGCATGCTCACAAAGGTTCTTTAATTGATATCATTTTCATACTGGTCAACTTTTTTTTAAACTTTGATCAGGCTTTTGAGAAGACATTTTCAAAGAAAGAAAATAACACAGAAGTTTACTTACAGCTCATCTAGCCCCAAGCATCATGTCAGGCATTGTCATTACTTAAAACCATTAGATATCTTCTGAGAAACAATTTTGACATTAAAACGAAATCTTTTACTAATGATACTGGGAAGATCCTTAACTAATTTACAGTTTTTGCGGACAAACCGAAGTAAGAAATGACCACCACAAAGGAGCATAAATAGATCCACACGAAATAGGAATTGCATCCAGGTTCTCGGATACAACCTCCCATATTAATATCACATCATGCTGAAATGCATCTAATGTGTTCTTCTCCTAGCTATCCAAAATCAAAGATGTGGAACATATTTTATCATAATCATTTGGTAATCAATGCAATCAGTGTCTCCTCCATGACAGTCTTAAACATTAAAACTAAATATTTAATAAACTACACTGCTAATGTTTAGTGCACATGTTTGGTACAGGTTGGCTGTCATTGTGCAACACAGTTTAATATAGAACCCTATGGGAAAAAAATAGAGACATTTTTGTCAGAAAACAGTGTCAAACATTCAAACATACTATCCACACTGATCTGTGTCCACACTTGCTATTTTTCAAAATTCTTCTGTTTTGTGCTTATCTGAAGTGTAATATTGAAAGTAAAAAATAATAGTTGAAATTGTATATTGTATACCTATTCCGACAAATATATTAATATATAAGACTGAGCAACATGGACCAAACTAAAAACTAAGGTTTTTTTCTTATACTATTGAACGGTAAACTTAATACTTCAATAATGTTCATTTTAACAAACACAGAAATTATAATGTTTTCTAGATTAAGTTCTCTTTTATATATAAAACCTTGTTGAAGGCTCCATGTTGAAGGCCGTACTTTGACCTATAATGGTTTAATTTTTTTAAATTGTGTCTTGGGTGGAGAGTTGTCTCATTGGCATGTACCGCATCTTTTTATATCTAATTAATCAAATAAGAAAGTAAATTGTCTTCCTAAATTTGCTTTATAATTATATTTCATTACATGCAATGTAATGATGGAATTTGTTTATTTGTTTTTAAACTAGCGAATAATTTTTATCACTACCATAAGCATCTGACATGAATTGAATAAAGAGACTAACAGATAAAGTATTAAAGAGTGGAAACGTTTTCCTATATTAATGTAGAGGCATTTGACATTTGATTAAAAATAGAGATAGCATTACTGTCGATAAGTTTTCTTGAATTTCTTCCCTATGCACTTGACCAAGAGTTTTATCATGTACTTTCCATCTTTTGTTTTTCAAAATCATATTTTGTCATACGGAAAGAAATATTCTTAGAAATGTGTTCAAATTAGTCAGATTTTGAGAAAAGTTTGAAGACTTGATTTTCCTTTATGATTCGTGTGTACTGTGTTCAAGTTTTTTACATGTCAATCTGTAACCAGCATGACTATTTACCAGATTTGTAATAACATAACAACACGACAGGTGCCACATGTGGAGCAGGATCTGCTTACCCTTCAGGAGCACCTGAGATCACCCCCAGTTTTTGGTGGGGTTCGTGTTGCTTAGTCTTTAGTTTTCTATGTTGTGTCATCTGTACTATTATTTGTCTGTTTGTCTTTTTATTTTTGGCCATGACGTTGTCAGTTTATCTTCGATCTATGAGTTTGACTGTCTCTCTGGTATCTTTCGTCCCTCTTTTATATCATACAGTATACATGATATAATTTAGAAATGATTTTGAACATCTTTTGTTCATGATCAACAAAAGAGTTCTTGGAATGCAATAAAAACATGAATATATAAAGTTAGTACAAATGTACCAAACACCCAGTTTTTATACCACCAAAGATGAATATCACAATGCATGGAGCGAAAA